TGCCTCCTGGGAAACCAACAGGGCAAATCCGCCAGCTAAGGATAGAGGAGGATGGTGGTAGCATCACCCACAAATTTCTTTTGAAAAACCACATACATTAGCAGCCATCACTGGGCTGCCACTGATGTCTTATTGATGATAAAGCATTACAATAGCCCAGAAAACTCACCGGCCCACATGCATTTGTACTAAAGAAAATAGGCAGTGTTGTTTTGTTAAACAAAGTTAGACCACTCTATGTCGGATTTGATTTGATTGGGATTCCTGCGCTGAGCAGGAGGTTGGACTCGATGGCCTTAAGAGGCCCCGGCCAATTCTGTGATTCTATCATTTTTGTAGTACTAAGTATGAAGAAACAATATCCGAAGAGGAAAATGAAGAACTACAAACATATATGCAAAATAAATGACTCACCTGAGGTGTGAACCCTTCCCTTGTAGAAGAAGTCGGCGACTTTCTTAATGGCTTGTGGGTTGTAAATAATGTTCAGAGGTTGCGTGCTAACTTCCAGGCGCCTCTCAAAATTGCTCCGAACCGGGTTTTTCTCATACACCATCTCAAAGACTGGAACAGCAGGATCCATAGCTGAATCAAAGCAAAGAGTGCAGCAAACCTCAGCCAAAACAACGCTGACAAACATGGTGACTCTTAAAAACAAAATTACATATAGCCCGAATCCTCTTACGATGTCTACCTGCAGGCCAATGAGAACACAAAAGGCACAGCAGCTGCTTGAGGCTGATGAATGACGTGTCCATCATGTCCCTGGTCGCACAACTTACATGCAACTGGCACGTCAGCTTCAGCTAGCCACAATCGTTTCCATGTTTTCATTTGAGTGCATGCAGAAAAGCACAGGATCGTGGCCAGTGTTTTAATGTTGGCAAATACCATTTATAACTTCACATTTAATGCTACAAATCCTTTTAGTTCTAAATTATTATTTTAATGTATTAATTCACTTAAGCCAGAGAAGTAATATTACTACGGTCGTGCCCCGCTTTACGATTACCTCACATAATGACGAATCCGCTTCACGATGACGTTTTTGCTATCGCTTTTGCAATCGCAAAACGATGGTCTAAATAGGGTTTTTTTGCTTTGCGATGATCGGTTCCCTGCTTTGGGAACTGATTCTTCGCAAAATGATGTTTTTTTAACAGCTGATCGGTGGTTTCAAAATGGCTGCCGGGTAATTAAAATAGCTCCCCGCTGTGTTTAGGGATGGATTCCTCGCTATACAGGCACCGGAAATTGGCCGCCGTATGGAGGATCTTCGCTGGACGGTGAGTTTTTAGCCCACTGGAACATATTGAACAGTTTTCAATGCGTTTCAATTGGCTTTTTATTTTCGCTTTACGATGTTTTTGTTTAACAGCGATTTTCCTGGAATGGATTATCGCCATTAAGGGAGGCACCACTATATTATAAAACATGCCTATTCACTTTCACCAAAGGATGGCTTCCAGAGACCATGCTTATTTAGAAACAGAGAACCCACCTGCATGCGAGGGAGTGGCCCTTACAAGGATGCCTACAACAAATTCATGAAGCTACTGGTTTCAGCTCCTACTCCAGCATACCCCAAACCAAAAGGGAGCTCTGTGGTACAGCAATTAATCTGGGCTTGATCCCAGAGGGTTGGGTAGCCGGTTTAAGGTGGGCTCAGCCTTTCATCCTCCCAAGGTTAGCGCAACAGATCCATGCCAGCCTCCCCAAACTGCTGTCTCTGTGCATTTTGGACTTCACCTCTGATCAGCTGCGTTTCTGTGGCTGATAGGAGCTAGAGTCCAACGCATCAAGTGACCAGGTTGGGGACAGGTCTGCACTGTACTGAAAAGTATGAAGACTTTTTATGTACTTAGGAGGTGACATGCATGCAGTTAAAAGATTCTGCACAAAAATGAACTCATTACCAGTGCTCTGATCGCTTGCGTCTGATGTAGAAGCCTGGAGACCAATGGAAGAGGCACAGCCCACTTCTTTTTGCTAACGAGAATAAAAGGAAACATGCATTTGTTATGGGTCACATTCATTTATAATTTTTTTGCAGCACAACTGCCTGCATTTTATAAGGATTTCTGCCGTTCCTCTGTATGGCCATGTGCCTACTGATAAAAGCAACAGCCACCTAAAATTGTAATAAAGGAAGCTGTAAATCTGAAACAAATATGGGGATGCATGTCCCACTGAACAGTACGGGCTTTACTTCCAAGTTAAAAGCAAGTTTAAAATTGTGGTGTTCGTTCACAAGCCAACACTAACACAAAAAGGCTTTAATAAACTAGAACCTATGTGTGATGCAGCAGTTAAGACTGCTACAGATTCGGGGGGGACCTGGATTTCCTACTCAGCCATTAGATTTCCCTGGGGAGGGGAGGAAATTGAGCCAAACTCCATGGCACTGCTGTGAGGCCCATATGGGGAGGAAGAAAACCACATACACCACCCTGACCTCCTGGAAGAAAAGTAGGGAATAGATGTAAGAAGTAAAAGCAGCTTCTTTGCTCACAATCTCTCGGGGCTTAAAATAATTAAGTTTTCAATCATTCTGCCAGCTTCCCAAAAGCTTAAAACAAATAATTGAGGTTTTCTCTTATTTGTTTGTTTGCTGCTATTCTCCCTGTAGGGGAGTCAAGGCAACTCACTGGCAATTAAAACTACACAACAATTCCTATTGAAAGCACTGTAAGAACCAACAATGGAGAACAATTCAACATGTAACAATATGAAAAACAAACAAACCACCATTAAAAACAAGATGCTGGCTTTTCTTTTTGGAATTGGCTTGCGAATTGGCCTGAAGGAAAGGTTTTCAAAGAAAATTAAGGGGGGGGGAAATCACTCTCCAAGGCATAGGGATTAAGATCAGCCAAAAAGCTCTTCCAGAGTTTAGAAATGCTACTTTTTAAAATAGTCTTCTTTTTTGGCAGGGGTTATGCCTGGAATCATGACTCCCAGAACATCTTCAGGCTGGCTTCTGGGAGCCGGAATGCAATAAATTGCCAAGCTCTGCCTTCTCCCATGAGCAGCCAAGCCATGCAGTGTTTTGAAAACAGTCCAAGCCAAATTCTACCCAGGTTCAGTGCCCTGAGTCTAAGGGCTCTGGAGGTCTTCAGTTAGAAAATGCAAATGGGATTACAGGTAGATGAAACTTTTCAGCGAGACTACACTCAAAGACATAAATATTCAGACTCCAGATACTCAGAAGAGCCCAGCAAGACATTGATTCAGACCAGGGAACACAAGAAGTAGAGCAAGCATCTGCCGGAGAGGATCATTTAGTCGCAAGATCCAAGGTAGCGCCGCCAACCTCAAGCAAAGGATCCCACCAGGACTTCAGGGAAAATGTTTGTAGTCTGGGGTGGTTCCGTATTATAATTCAAATGCTCATCTGGACAGCGAGGGGCATGGGGGCAATAATTTTTTTTCCTGGATTCCAAAAGGGTTCCAACCAGCTACTTCCATAAAATCCTCCTAATTCTGCTACAATGGAAAATTGCTTCCACGCCAAAACATTCCTCTTAATATTGTAGGCCACCTTGAGTCTTCTCAAGGAGAAAAGTGGAGTATAAATATTTCAAATCATTCATTCAATCAATCAACCAATCAATCAATGTCCGTAACTTGATTTAATTAAAACACATTTATCCTGGTGTACCTTTTCGCGCCGATTCCTCGCTTACCGAGGCGGCAAAAATGGTGGCGTTATGGAGGATTCCCCTTTAGCGGTGAGTTTATCCCCCATAGGAACGCATTAAACGGAGTTCCTATGGGGTTTTTTGCCCCGTATAGCGACGTTTCCGGATAGCGATGATTTATCCAGAACGGATTATCGTTGCTATGCGGGGCACCACTGTATTATGGACATCTGGGAAAGCAACTGAGAACAAAGTTTTAATGGGTCAGGGACAGGAAAGACCCGACCACCCTCCCCACGCTTGATGGATACGATGGACAACAATGAATCGGGGAGCACGTCAGTGGATTGCGGCCCTCACAAGCTTACTTCTTTTCTCTCCCGCAAACAGGCTTCACTTACCCCTTTAGCGGTGAGTTTATCCCCCATAGGAACGCATTAAACGGAGTTCCTATGGGGTTTTTTGCCCCGTATAGCGACGTTTCCGGATAGCGATGATTTATCCAGAACGGATTATCGTTGCTATGCGGGGCACCACTGTATTATGGACATCTGGGAAAGCAACTGAGAACAAAGTTTTAATGGGTCAGGGACAGGAAAGACCCGACCACCCTCCCCCCGCTTGCTGGATACGATGGACAACATTGAATCGGGGAGCACGCCAGTGGATTGAGGCTCTCACAAGCTTACTTCTCTCCCGCAAAGGGGCTTCACTTATTGCTTTTTTCACTTGTTTTGATTTCATTTTGCCCATTCATGCAAAGCAACTTGAAAAAAATTAAATTCTGCAGGAGCCAAAGGCCAACGTACGACCCCCTAATTCAACGCACCGGGTTGGGGAAGACGAGGACAGGGAATATGGTTCCTTCCGTGGCTAAATCCCGAAGGAAGAGGCTACCAAGCTGAACCTTGAAAAGGGAAGAATTTCTGCGAGGGAGGGTTTCAGCTAAGATGGTCACGGCTGGAAAACAAAGCACAAGAAGCATAACATTAACAGGGGAGCCGGGAATTGTATTTGCAGGCTCAAATCCCACATTAGCCCATTGAAATCCATGGGATTTAGAACAGCTGCAACTAAGAGGTCATCCTCATTTCCAGAGTCCGATTCTTGGCAAATCAACAAACCGTCAGTGGCCAACGTGATCACAGACAAAGTGGGTGCTTGTTGCCGCCTGAATCCCATCCTTCCACTGAGATACTCCCCAGAGATGTGGAAATACTGTAGGCAGGGGTGGTGGAACCTCTGGTGCTCCAGATGTTTTAGACTACAACTCCCAGAATCCCCAGCTCGCCTTGCCCATGATAAAGGACTGTGAGGGTTGTAGTCCAAACACCATCTAGACTTCTTCATCCCAGCTGTACGATGAGCAGAAGGGACTGGAGAACATGGAGGTGTTCCAAAGCACAATGGGAGCTGGTAAACCTTTCTTATGCTTCTCCTCCGTGATCAGGTGAGCACCACAAATCAGGGATGGAGAAAGTCATGCTGAAACTCAGCCATCTCAGGGCCAAATGGGGTGCTCCTGAACATCAAACGCACCACCCCTCTCGGGCTTTATCAAATAGCTACACCTCCTGCACCAGGGCAAAATTATTGAGTGGCATCCTAGTCTTCGTGCCTGCTGATTCTGAAAGGCTGAAATACTTCCGCTAAGGGTTAATTACAGAAAGGAAACGCTCTCGTGTAAAAGTCCTGATATTTTTGGTTCCGCCCAACCCAGTAAAATGGCCCCAGAGGATACCTCTTGGAATCCTGCCACAAGCAGCAATTAAATAGGAAGCAATGGATGAACCAGCAGGCCCCTTGAAGAAATAAATAAAGAGGATTTTTCAGTACCTGAAAACTCCAGCTGCATGAAAGCTCTTTCCCTGGCCTGCCCAGCCCTGTTCTCTGTGTGCAGCAACGTGACCGACCCGCCTTGTAGCTGAAGATTTAACTTGGCCAGGACGTGATCCCGCTTTGTGAACGTGTTTATGCTGGAGACATCAGCTGTTGGGTCAAAAAATTCATCTGCTCCTAGGTCAATCGGAAGGAACAGCAAAGGTTAAAACAGGGATGCCTGTAAGCAGATCTGCCAGACATAACCAAACAATACCCAAAGAATGGCTTAAATTTAACGCAATACACAAGCAGCCTTGCCAATTATACAGAATTGTACAATGGGAGGGGGCTGATGTGCAAAAAAATGTATTCATTCGTGGGTCTTATTTGTTATCTCACCTGTCAACCCAAAGGCATTAACAAAACCAGAGGCTATAAAGGAAATAGGAAGGTGCCCACCAAGCTTTCTAGAAAGACATTTATTCCTTAGAGCAGTGGTCCCCAACCTGGGACTACAGCTCCCAATGTTCTTGGACTACAACTCCCAGAAGCCTTCACCACCAGCTGTGCTGGCCGGGATTTCTGGGAGTTGTAGTCCAAGAACATCCAGGGACCCAAGGCTGGAAAGATCTGCTCTAGAGCAAAGGCTAGGAAAACTCTTTGCAATCAAGGGAGGCATCTAGACCGTGATACTTCACTGGAGGCGGGGCCAAGGACAAAGGGGTGGGACAAGAGATGCCAGCATATATTCCTTTAAAACTCTTCCTGAAAACACAGAAACCTCTGGAGACATTGTCTAATCCTTCCAAAATGGAGGAAACGGCCAGAGAAAAGCAGGGAGGCCACCAAGTGATGACAACATAGAGAAGACGGCATGGCTGTCTCGGGAGCCCAGAACACAATCCTACAAGGACTGGGTGTGACTTGCGAAAACTCTGGTTCTCCACTCCTCGATATGCAGTCATGCCCCACCCCAGTTTTCCTCCTCATACCAGGAGCATCTTCTGGCCTCCACTGTTCTGATGTTTCCGAAAGCAATCCTTCGAACGTCTCCGCCGTTTCCTGCGAATCGCCGTACCAGCCGCCCCACCCAGGAAACCACGACTGGAGATATTGGAGCATCCCGCTCCGGCTGCTGGTGGCGGCCGTTGGTTCGGTTTCAGGGGTAGCCTCCAAGGAATCCGGCAAAGGCTCCTTGATGCTCTGTCAGGAAGGAACCAATGGAGGAAATGAGAGAGGGAGAGAGCCTCTTCTCGCGACAGAGTCCTCTGACCCAGCTCTACAGCAGGAATACAAGCCGAGAGCAAACGCATGAGCCACTGTTACTATTCTAATTCTGCTTAGTCCGCGTCATGTCTTCTTGCCACCACCTTTCTAACTGTGATGGGTGCCAGCAGGAGTGGAGCCAGAACAGGATTAGTGAAAGTCAAAATGGATGTATTCTCATGCCAAGGGAATGCTGTAGTTAGCCAGAATAGAAAGAGAGAGAGAGAGAGCTATCTTCCGCTTATCCTCCAAAATATAGTGCAATGAAAGTTGAGCATGCTTCATAGCCACGGAATGTGTCGGATGCAAATCAGGCATGGGACAGTGGACAAGGGAGTGAAGCGGGAAGGAGCTGACTAGTGAAGGTGGCTATGGTTAGCTCGTTGGCTGTCAAGCAACCAAAAGAGCAACACTCCGGTAAGAAAACATGGATCTATGACAAGACATTGGCTGAAATCCTGTTGTGTAGTTACGCAAAAAGTGCAACTTTGGGCAGCAAACTGCCGTAGGTTAAGAAATCTCCGTAAGTATTATTGGTTGCCTACTGAGATGCGCCACCTGGTGGTGCAACAGATACCACCCACCGAGATTTCTAAACTTAGGGACACTCACGGCTAAAGGTTACACCACCATTTCCGTTACTCCCTATCTTGGTCTTAACTCTTTGCCCCAAAGAAAGCAAGATTTTCATTATGGATCCCGTATGTTATTAACACAGACAACTCCATCCTGACAGCAGCATTAATGCTATTGTTGTTGTTGTCATTGTCATTTCTATACACAGAATTCTCTAGCACTACTGCTCTTCTCCGTGTTGCTTGGAACACCTCACTGGAAAAATAAGATTCAAAAACTTCATAAAGTCAAATCAGCAGTGCTAATGCTGTACACGGGCCTAAACAGTGTTGTTCATTTGCTTATGCAGCCTGAATAACAACCACTAGACATACCCAGGGAGGTTAACTACTAGAGCCCAACCGAGATAAGCTAATATTTCTTAAAAATCTGCATTTCTTAACATCGCCCACCTCAGCCAGTTCACTGAAACGATGGTATACTATCTGGCGTAAGATTTTCAGCTCCTCAATGGTCTGCTCATCCTCAATGCGATCTATCTCTTCCTAGAAGGAGAGAAAAAATGAGTTGGTTCAGAAAATGCATAAAATGCAGATGACCACTCAGCTCCCTTTCCACCCAGAATTCCTATTCTTGGAAATCCATCTAGCCTGAAGCGAGAGATTACAAGATCTAAGCCCAGAGGATTCAACCCTTTGGTGACCCAATCCTGTATTGTATTACGTCATGGCCCACTTTGGGTTTAACAGTGGTTTAGGTCTCTCTCTGGCTGCGGAAAGCCAGAGGTTGGAGGTTCGATTCCCCACGGGGCCTCCTTGAGAGGGGCTGGACTCGATGATCCATAGGGTCCCTTCCAGCTCTGCCATTCTAAGGTTATGCCTTGGCTCATTAAGCTAGGTGAGCCTTCTAGGCATGTGCTCCACCTTTTCCTTCCTTGGCAAGACACGGCTGAAGACTTCCGGTGTCAATTAAGCACAGCTTGCCATAAACATGTTCTCAATTTATGGGAACAAAAAGACTTCTCCCTCCAAGATTGGCACTAAGTCAAATACTCAACAAGCGCCATTCAACTGTCAGAGACTGTCTTTGCTTTATCAGTTGTTATATTGATGAGAACTTCAATTTTTTTGGGGGGGGGGTATACAATCAACGTATATTAATTTATATGACTATATCCCACGTACTCCCTCCCTGCAGTCCTTCCTTCCTTTCTTCTTCCTTTTCGGTTTGAATTTATTTTTTTAAGCACAATATCTTGTTACTTCCAAATTCAAATCACCAGGTTCTGAACACACAAGGATCTGAAACAACCTTCAAATAGTGTATTCTGATCCTGGTAACCACAGTTTCCATACGTAATCAGGAACTGCAGTTAACTCACACAGGACATCTTTTACTACAGCATAAAAAGAGGGTAAGGAAGAAAAGAAAACACACCATTGGCCCAAGGCTCATGTGTTAGTTTATGAAGCTAAATTGCATTGTAGAATCATAGCATGATGGAGTTGGAAGGGGCCTCTAAGGCCATCAAGTCCAACACTCTTGCTTGGTGCAGGAATCCAAATCAAAGCAGATCTGACAGAGGGTTGTCAAATTTTGTCTTGAATGCCTCCAGTGCCGGAGCACTCGAGGTAGTTGTTCCATTGTCGTACTGCTCTAACAATTAAGACGTTTTTCCTGATAACAGAAATTGTATCAGTTTACTAAGCTGAGTACATGTGATATTACATTTCAAAGTGGAAGAGATAAAGTGCTGCTAGTTAAAATTCATTAGAAGTAGGTCTTCAAATTAATAAGGGGTTGCATCCAATTTTCCTACTATTTAAAGTAGACCCACTGAAATCAATGGGACCAGTTGGTTGGAGCCAACGCAGCCCATTCTTTACAACACAGTCTTTCCCAAGCAGGATTAATGTGGGATTTAACAGAAGGTAGCAACTTACAGGTCAACTCAATCTTCTAAAAAATAGCAAGCCCACACACCCGTTTTCCACAAAACATGAGTGATGGTTTAAAAAAAAAAACAAGCCACCCCCACAACTCTGCAAACACAGATAAAAGTTGTTGCCTGGCAGCTCAACAGATGGCAGGAGATTGAGAGTTCAAACCCACAGTGGGCATCCTGGAAGAGCCATCCTCTATGGCCTTGGGCAAGCTGAATAGTCTCAGGATGCCCTGAGTAGAAGGGAATGTGAAAACACTTCTGAGGACTTCCTAAGTGGAAAGCCTTGAAAAGGGTCCCTATAAATCAGAATTGACTTGATGGCCCATGAATATTATTACTATTAAGGAGAGGGGATGTTCCACTCCTTCTGCTTCCCAATACCTGCTCTTCATCACAGAGTTCCTCCTCTTTCAACTTCCTGGAGTAGAGTTCCGTGTACACGACAGCATCTCGGGCTCGGCGCAGTGCAAATTCCCAGCAGGACCGTTCCCTCTGCTCTCTGATCTCTGCAATGTAGGCGTTCAGAGCAAAATGCCACCATGCGCGACAGCTGAAAAGAGTTCAGAAGTCGATGCATGCCCAATCAGAAGACTCACTCAGGTGCAGGAACAAACCCAGAAAGGTAATAAAACTATTGTAATGGCTGTTAAGTTAATTCTGCAATTCAGGCATTTACTAGCACAGAGAGCCGTTTGCTGGATACTGAATCTCATCCTGTAGACTCAGTTCCATCATCTTCCCTTCATCTGCACTTAAAATAGGTGGAAACAAATCTATATATAGTGGTTAGAATGAATGACTAGGGATGACCTGGTTCAGATCTCCACCTTGAAGCTATGAATGACCCCTGGCCAAACTCTTACGCTCCTAACAAGAAGTGTTGGATACGAATATGATAAACAGTGATCCAGAAAGGAAGTGGGGCTCATGAATCCTTAAACAGAACTCCCTCAGACAGAAAAAAGGAATCTCATCTATCACACATTCTGATGCTGACTTAGGATGGCCCATGAGGGCAGTTTGGTACGCTTTATGCATCTGATGCTCAAACAACAAGGAAATTACAGAAAGCTCCCAGGAATGCAACAAAAACTGTGAATGCTCAAGCTGCATATCCCCAGGGACCACAGGAGGACACGTGTGGGTCCCCTAGGATCAGATATGACACCCTTCTAGCCTTATGGCCCCCAGCACCTCACACTCCTCAAAGTTTAGAAGCAAATTTGTTCTCTCCTCTCAAGAGCACAGGGGATAAAGGTAACATGCTTTTAAGGACCCCCAGCATTCTCACATTATAAAAGAAGCGGCCACAAGAGTTACACATGCTTTTCGATTAAAACAATCCTGCTGTTGCAACCTTTACAGTGCATAAGCACTTGATCCACCTGAATAGAATAGACAAACATTGGCCCCATGCCTCACAAGCGTGGCCGTCAATTGTGACAAATTCAGCCCCACTGAGATTGCCCACTCCTGCCACAGGCAAAGAGAAGCGTAGGTGGCAGAGATGTCTCAGCAACCACAGTGACAGCAAAAATAGGACACATTTTGGAAACAGCATCTAACACGGAAGGGAGAGTTATTTGAGCAAGAAAACAAAGCCCATACTTTCCAGTGACTGGAACCCTTGGCTTCCATCTTCTGAATTTGAGCTGACGTTCCTTCCGATCCAGTTCTTTCAAGAAGTCCATAATTTGCCGGTACTGAGTCTACAGCACATAAAAGGCGTGATTACCCAACAACAAGAGGAACAGCAGAACCAGTGCGTGCTTTCGAAACAGCATCCGAAATGGAATGGATGACAAGGGGAACAGGGGAGTGCTGGTGAAGACCGAGTGGTGTGATCAAACAGGCATCTGTATATTCAGTCTTGACACACACTTGATTTCTATTTTTTTTTTTTTCCCCAGCAAGCACTGCAGACACACATATTCCCAATCCATTCACTGCTATACATCCCTAGGTAAATGTTCCACTCATAAAAGAATGAGTGTGTGGTTCTCTTTTTTTTACCTGAGAAAGTTTCAGGGGTATCATCTCCAGCTGGATGTCAAATTCGAGCCGAGGAGTATTCCGTGATCTCAGGGGCTCTTTGGAGCAGTTCCGTTTGAGCAGAGCAGACGTACGCAAGGGCTCCATGATGTAGTTATGGTCACGGCTCTCCATGCTCTCATCCATTGCTTTCTGGAAATCACAACAGATTTCATTTCCCCACACCAAGGCTCCTTGTTCTCTCCCTTGCCCCCCCCAATGAACATACGTATGCAAAAGGGCTCCTACCTGAAGCTCCCCGGGGGGCAGGTCTCCCAGTAAAGTGCAGTCGGTATCCCAATAGATGCTGAAGTCAGCAATGTCCAGCTGTTTCTTCTTCATGAGTTCCTCCACCTGAGAAGGAGAACTCAGTTTGAGCCATGATGATAGCAGAACAGGTTGCAGAACCCCCAAGCAATGGTTCTGTTCTACGCTTATGAATAACGGTGTGCCATCAAGTCAGTCCCGACTTAGGGCAACATTACAACACCAGATTTTTTTTTTACACTTTAAAAACAGCTTTTATGCACTTCGTCTCATGTTTCCACACAAGAATCTGTCTTAAGTCCTTATCATTTTCTCTCACACAAGAATCTGTCTTAAGTCCTTATCAGTTGCATGATCTTTTTTGTGGGGTTGTCGTTTTCAGCCGGTGGTTCCCAAACTCGGGTGCCCAGATGTTCTTGGACTGCAAAGTCTCAGAAATCTTGGCCAGTACAGCTGATGAAGAAGACTTCTCGGATTTGCAGTCCAAGAACATCTAAGTTGTCCAAGGTTGGGAACCACTGCACTAAGCAATCCAGATCACACTGTGTGACACAGGAACTATGAACCAAATCACTCACTATGTGCAAAACTCAACATTTTACTTTGAGTCATTTGTCATCTTCAGGGGAAATTAACTTTTAATCTCTCCTTGTCCCCAACAGTAGCCCAAATCCACCTGAGGTAACATCCTCAGAACCCTAAAGCATGCAAACAGTATCAACCCATTAAAGGCATACATAACTGATCTCAGTCCAACCAAGGGCAAAATTCCAATTCAGCCAGCAGAACTTTGGGGATAGAGGTGGTAAAAAAAAAACACCCAGTGGCACTATTTGCTGAAAACCTGACTATGTAGCTTCCAATCACTTTCTCAGCTTAGCCACAGCTTGTTGACGCTTGCTTCTGTGTCTTCAAACTTTACCTAGTGGTCGAACACTAGCTTAAATCCAGTAGTGGAATTTTATGTGCAGTAGTTTTTTGAAAACTAAACATTTCCCTTGGGATCCTTTCCAGTGTGGTGGACCTGTTTGGGGGGGGGGGCATGGGAGAGGATGGAAATCTTTACTACCCGAGATGACTTTCAGAAATCAAAGCCTTGTAAAGGCTTCCCCGTGGCAAAAAGGATCACAAAGGAGTCGCATGATCTTTTTTGTGGGGTTGTCGTTTTCAGAACTTCTTCATTTCAGCCTGACATGGCGTAACTTCCCCTACTAGATTTCAGCCATTGTTCACAGCCTTTTATTTCTGTTTTATCATCGTATACCACTTCCTTAGTTTGGCTTCACTGATTAAGGACATTTTCATCCAGACTGACTGACTCCTAGCTTCCTTCTGTATAAACCTGATAGCCCAAGTAATGTCATAGGAGTGGAGGCTTCTTTAATCAACGAAGCCAATCAAGGTAAAGAAACATAGCATTAAATAAAAAATAAACTCCAGAAACAAGGTTTGAAGATTAAATGTTTTAAAAAACTTGGATCAAACCTTCAAAAGCTACAGAAAAGCAGCTGGGTGCCACGCCACCAATTTTTAGGTAGCAGGACCATTTTTGGCTTTCCTTTTTCAAAAAAGAAAAGAAAAGCTTGAATAGGACAGAAGGCTGGCTTGGGGCCTTGTGGGGCCGATGAACTGCCCAAAGCCCACTGCCACTTTAATGCATCAAAACACAGGGCAACACATGGTAAGCTCATGCGCTCCTCCAAGCACACACATCTTGTACTCACTGGCTCATTGACAGCATTTTGAACAGAGACGTTTTTTATACAGACTCCAAACGCAAACGGTTTGGAAGGATTGGTGACGCCATCCTCAAATCTCAGGTGGACATCTTGAATATTTAACTGAAGAGGAAGAGATAAAGGGGAGATTCTCTTTAAGCCTGCGTGAAACAAGCTAAGTAGGCTCAAAGATATCATTTAACATGCAGAATAGCATCCTGTAGGTTGCCCCAGCATTTTTCTCAATGACACCATCAGTAAAATCAACTACTTATCACACTGAATTAATTACTCCTCTGCTGTGCCGAGGAGTCCACAGACAAATTAATTAACAGGATGGATGGATTTTGCTAGCCACGGTAACCAGTTTAAAAAACACACACACCTCTGCTCCCCAGCATCCTTTCAAACAAGAGGATAGGGTGCAGAAGCTATCTCTGTACCACCCCAGAGTGAAAATAAGGACACCCCCCCCATTGGTCTCTCTTTCTAGCCCCCAGGAGGAGTGGCAGCTTGCCATGCCGGCGGCACTGTCCAACTGTGGTGTTCAAGGTATCCTGGAGCCCCCCCCCTTCTGTAGCTGGGAGGTGGAAAGGGAATCTGGAATCCCAGCTGCTACTGTTGAGTGGGCCTTCGGAGGTGCTTGATCACGTAAAAGGCTGGAGAGCTGGCACCTTGGCCAGTTACAGCTCTGCACAACTGTTTTCCCTGCTACCCAGAAGGGTCCTCTACAGCCTCCCCAGCTATCTCTAACTTATTCTGTAAATGCAGCATTAAGAGAGAGAAAAAAATGAAAGCGGTTCTAGTTACAAGGACAACACTCAAACAGCACCAAAGGTGGATGGGTGCTGATGAAGCTAGCAAAGTCTCGCAACTCGGCTTCATTATCAAAGTCCCGCATCTCGGCTTCTTGCGGGCCTCACACCTACCCATTGCCCACCCACACCTTTCGGCCTAGTACGTTCCAGCTGCCGGAGGTACTAGAACACAAACGGAAGGCGATGGAGGTTTATTCCTCTGCTCACCAAGAGGTGGGGAAAATATTAATATCGTATTGGAAATGAAATGAGAGGACGGCCTGCCCGTCTTAACTTACCTCGATGTTCTCTACGATCCTGGCAACGACTGAGGCGGTGACCGAGTACCAGTAAGATTCTGCTACCTGCTCCTGTTCTTTCTGAAAAGGGAAAGCAGAGATGTCTACCTTGTGAATTCAAAGAGAACAGAACCCGACAGAAAATATTCTGCGAGCGGAGTGCAAGAAAAAAAAAAAGATTCCGGGTTTGGAAAAAAAACAGTGAGCTACTAGGGCTTCATGGGTCTACAATACACACAGGAACCAGGTATGGAAAGCTGAGCTGCAACCTATAGAGGCATCCCCCCCCTTAGACAAAGGCTTTGTCTAGGAAGAGTCTGATTCCCCTCCCACAGACAGTTCACAGCAGAAGAGAGGAAAAATTTAAAGGCAAAATGGAGAAATTTTTGTGGCCAGTAGAAAGGAAAACTGTGCGTACATCAGTGTTTGTTTCACACAATTACCACATATGCCTGTCTCATCATATGTGCAATGCAGTAAAAAAATGCAAGAGCACATCTTCCAAAAAGAACAGCACAACAGCAAAAGGTGCTGCTCTTAAATCGCCTCGTCACCCTTAAAACAGGCCGTTTACGATCTAATTACACAGGCTACATACTGCCCCCCCCTCCAGTGAGATGGGTCCCCTTTTTACCAACTTCGGAAGGATAGAAGGCTGAGTCAACCTTGAGCTAGTAACCTGGGATTGAACCCAGGGAGTGAGCAGAGTTTTGGCTGCAGTACTGCAGTTTAACCATTGTGACCCCAGGCTCTACTTCTACTCACCGGCAGTAACGTCATCTTATGAACACAGCCTGTCCTACCTGAAGTTTAGGAAACTGATTTTCATTCGCTAGGCTGCAGGGCTCGAACACCCCCCATTACAATAAACGAAGTTGATATAATTACAGAATATTTGCTGCTTTCTGGAGAAACAAAAGCCACCCCATTTCCTCAGTATTTAATCAAAGATACCAGTTTTCTAGAGACATACATAACCAGAAAACAAAGTCTGAATTCAATCAATTACCCAAATTTGGGGAGGTGGGGATGGTAGCAAACCCATTAAACGTTATTTACAAAGTACTTAAACAACATACTTTCCATTTTTCTTCCAGTGCTAATAAAATGGCTTTCTTGCTTTCCCGTCCAAGCTGCTTCTCTCTTTCTTCATCAAAATCTTCCTGCTTCGCTGGAGAGCCAACGAGGTGCAATTTGGACACCGATATCACCCATGGGTCGATATGGGGACGATAAAACGGTATCTGCAGAGTTATTTTGTCAATGAAACCTACAATTGCCATAGAGAAGAATGTGAGCACTCAAGAGAGGTAGGGGAAAAATTATCAGATTTTTTTCTTTCTTTCTCAAGCACAGAGAGGCTTCCACACAGGAAACGCTTCCTTGTTGTCTCTCTGGAGCACGGAGTTCTAGGGAGCCCTCCTTGCGAAGTGGATACAGAGCTTAAGATCAGCGATGACCAAAATGCATGGGAAAATTGTTGACTGCAGGGGATGGATGGGTGGGGTTTTGTGCCAAGTGACAAATTTACAGAACAACCCCCCCCCCAACCTGATGAAACACGCTGCCTGCCATCCACCAGTTTTTGAGCCAAACAAAATTGGGTTGGTCCAAGCGTCCCTCACTCTTCTAGCAAACCTATGGTTTTAAAGCCTTCCCAGAGGGAAAGCTTGCCAACAGAAATCTTCATTCAATGCGATCCCATAAAATCTAATAAAGGAACAGCTACAAACACATTTCCCAAGGGCGGCTTCTCTGGTTTCGAGACACTCCCAAGGACCTACCAGCTTTGACCTCAAAAGGCAAGAGTTCCTTCAAGGCGTCTTTCTTCAACGGCAAATTTTCCAGCTCCACAGCACCTGTGGGAACAAACCATCCAAGCTGAACCACTGAAAAGTGTCCCGATCTTCCCTCCCTCTGGGATAGATATTCTTAAAAAGCATGCCATTTTATTATACAGCTTGAGATCAAGCAATGCCTTTCCTGCATCACCAAAAAGTTACGATAAGACAAGCTTTCAAGTTCTCCAGCATGGATCGTATTCATGAACGCGGTGACCTCTTTATGCCGAGTTCTGGAGAACTCAAGAGCTTATCTTCTTTGTAACCACTTGTGTGCACGTATTCTGTGCCGTTAAGTCAGAACCAACTTATAGCGGTTATACCGACTTTAAAGGTTTTACCCTAATAAAGGCTTTCAAGGTGACTGAGATATTTAAGGGTTTTACCAGTACCACCAGCCCCCAGTGAGCTTTCATCGACAAGTGGCCATTTGAACTCTCCAGAGTCCTAGTCTGTCACTCTACCCACTACACCACACTGTGAAAAACTTTACTGGCATGAGAAGAGGCTTCTTCCTGAGACTGAACTTCAGTGACTACTATACAGTATCCCTTCCAATTCACTAGGGATTTAACTATAATTTGCCTTTAGCCTTGTGTGATATCCAACCGCCAGTTTTCTGTACCTGCATCTTATTACAGTACACGGAAGTGAAATAATGAGACTAGCACAGCACAGCACAGCACAGCACAGCACAGCACAGCACAGCACACACACACACACAAAACAGCAAGTAAGCTTGAGAGATAACTAAACAATTACCATGTTGGATGTGTATTTTGCATCTGTATTTTGTCTACCTTCAAAAAGATCACACAATTTATCTTTGGAACAAGTTTCAGAGGCAGATTAGAAAGGGAGCAGCCTGCCCGAAGCTGCTTAAATAAGTGGAGGCTTCATCTGAGCTTTTACAAGCTACCGTACTGTACTGTTTTTTGTTTTGTTTTGTAGAATGTGAAAAACTGATTATTTTTACCCAGATCAAAAAGTGGGATTTTTATATCTCCTGCTGGAACTGAGACTGAGTGGCTGGATCTGGCCACTGATCTTGCAGATTTCAACGGAAACATCTCATTATCATTGTGGGGGGATCAATTTTAGAAGCCAGTATGACTAGACCTTGTGTGGGCAGGATCACCAAACATAGCCACTCAAAGCCATTCACCAAATTATATCTCTTGGAGACTCTCAGGAGGAAGATTTTCCAATTTCCCCTTCCCCCCGTGACCCTATTTTGAAAGTGGAGCAGGGGCTCCAGGTACTAAAAAAAAGTATCCATGGGCTGCAGGCTCCCCACTAATTTTTAAAGAAATGAGAAAGAAGGGAGACGCCAAGGACTCAACACAAGGGAGCAAAAGCATCAATACAAATGTACGGCAGATGGAATCAAGAAAAGGAGGCCTCTGGTACTATTCCTACACCTTACCTTTTAGAAGAGCTACCGAGAGCTGGTCTGTGTTCAGGTTACTGACATATTTGCCTAGGTAGTTGTTGAGAACCCAGGCTATCAATCCCTCCAACATGACTACTTCCTAAAACAGCGTGGCCAAGACCTCGTCGTCATTCCTCTCTGCTGCCTTCCATGGTGAAAACACAAGCCACCCTGAAATGCAAAGGAGATCCTTCATTTCAGAGACAAATGCGCTCAATGAATTGACCATTACTGATCACCAACAACACTGTCACAGCATTCATTAATTTAATTCTGGCTCGCAGCCTCCGGCCAGAAGCCACAACTATATTTTGCTCTCTCAGGAACAAAACTGTTAACGCTGTGCCCGTTAAGTCAATGAAGCCGGTTGCCAAAAAAAGGTCTGTGCTACAGAGTTATTGACTTCATCGCCGGATTATTAGAATGTGCTGCGCATGGCGCTGCCCTTGAAGGTGACTCAGAGTTTCAGCTAGTCAAGAATGTGGGAGCCAAAGTTGCAACTGGTTCATTCAGAGCAAGTCACATTAATCTGATTTGAAAAGAGCTACGCTGTCTGTTCACTCCGAATCCCAGTTTAAGGTGCTGGCGCTTACCTACAAAGGCCTGAATTTAGAAACGTAATCTCTCTGTGTGTGTAAATCTCTGCAGGCCTCTCTCTACATGCCCTGCCCTTGGTTTAAGATGAACACGGGAGGTTAGCTCAGCAATTTAGGCATCTGACTGCGGAGCCAGAGGTTGGGAGTTTGATTCCCCCAAGAGGCCTCCTTGACAACAGCTGGACTAGATGATTTATAGGGTCCCTTCCAGCTCTGCCATTCTAAGATGATGATAATGATGACTCTCCTCTAAGTTCCATGGCGAAATTATGTGCCAAACGAAAGGCTATCTTCTATTGCCATACTCTATTTGTGGAACACTCTCTGTGTAACACTGGATTAGTTCCTTTTGGCAAGAGCTCAAAAGCCACTTTGAAAAGCCATTTTAAGACTGTACTCCATGCATCTGGGAAAGTGGGCTGTGCATTCATACTATAAGGTTAAGGCCACATGCCTGTTTCTCATTTTAAAGTGGTTTAGAAACTTCTAAGGCAAGGCTGGATGTCCGCCGATTAGGACCCCTGCACCAGTGGCCTCCCAGTATCAACGGAAGGCTATCTTTTGTGATCTCCGAGGTGTTTTCCTACTCTGGATGTCCAACGAATCACAAATCACTCCAGCTCATGCCATTAAGAAAATCTGGATTTCCAGAAAACAGGTGTGGGCAAAGTGTGAACCTCCCTCAGATGCTACTGGACTAAGTTCCCATCATCCTTAGCTAGCACAGCCAAGGCTGAGAAAGGCTGGAAGTTCAAGAGCAACTAGAGAGTTACACTTAGCCCATCTTGGCCATGTAAAAAAATGATTGTCCATTGTTCTTGTCTGCAGGCACTCCCTCTGCACTGGCTCAAATTAAGCCTTCTGCCATAGACAAACATAGAACAAACTGAGGACCTGATTAAATTCAGATAATTGCAAGAATTGCAGGTGGAGAAGTACATTTCGGTCTCCGGCTGTAGAAGAAACTCCCTGCAGTGAAGAAATCAGAAGATGACTGTGACCCAGTTAGGGTAACTACGAAGGATCTAGAAAATATCTTGAAGTGTTAAGGAAGTTCACCCTTATGAACCCAGCTATTATTTACAAGTGTGAAATCTGCTCAGTGAAGAAAACAAACAAGAAAAACTCGCTTGAAAACATGGTGTTGGAAGACACCGTGGACCAGCAGAAATACAATCAATTGGTACTCAATCAAACCAAGTTGGAATTCTGCCCAGAAGCTTTGAAATGACTATTTTGAGACCACCTTACTTAGGACAGATCATGAGAAGAGAAGACTCACTGGAAAGACAATAATGTTAGGGAAAGTGAAAGAAAGGGGGGGGGGAGAGAAAGACTGAACACAAGATGGATTGATTCCATAAAGAAAGCCATGACCTTGAGTTTGCCAGACACAAACACAACTGCCAAGGACGGGACCTTTTGGAGGTCATTAATTCACCATAAGCTGGAAGCAACTTGATGGGACATAATAAAGATGCATATGTAATTCAGGCAGCAGCATGAAGGAGGGGGCATGGCAAGACAGATAGCTGAGAACTAATATTTACTGAAGGTTAAATTTTAAGAGTGCTCTTGGGTTGGCCTATTGCTGCTGTTACAAAAACAGAAGTGCAAAGGAGGGCAACATCTGGCCTTGTGCCACACCCAGGTCCCTGACTACTGCTTTTGACAACTCACAGAGGGTTGTGGAAATTTTCTGCAGAATGTCTAAGCCTTTGCTGGCTGTAGTAAGAGTTTTAGAAACAAGGATGAAGCCCTTTCCCGGTTCCAAGAGAAGACCAATGTGGGAAGGGAATAACAATCCCCTGAACTAACATGTTACTATGATACAGGTTTTCAGAGTTGATCAAACCGGTAACACTGGCCAAATCCGAATTGCATGACACAAAATCCGGTCCATGAGACCTGGTACAACTGACCACGTTCCAAGTTCGTATTTTGCTTCCGTCACAAATCTGTTCAGAAACAGGTATGATGGAAATGGTACTCTGACATCTCAAGAATCAGATCTTCTCTCTCTGTGCTGCTAACATGAACGATAATAAGGCTGGCCTGCCATCCACGATCATTGCTGGGCTTCCTACTTGATTGTAAACACAGGAGACTTTGAAGACTCACACATGGTAGGAAAATGAAATTATGGCCATTAGCTCCAACAGCCACAGGAAAGCCAGCCATTCTCGTTCACTTTCTCTCCCTGCCCCCCCCCCATTTTTTTCTATTTCTCAGCCTGACACCTAATAGGGCAAATATATAGAAAATATTCTCTTCAGTCTACCACAAGAGTGAAGGAAATGACAGTGAAAGAAAAACATGGATCAAATCCAGCAACACACGCACAACACCAATTTTACCAATATTATAAACCAATGTCTGGATGTGGACTATCATTGTGCTTCTGTATCCATATTTCTAAGCTCCAGGAAATGGCTTGATATTACTCTGCAATAACGTGCCCTCAGTGCCGGCAGGAAAAAGGATGCCAAGCTTTTTATATAGCCTGAATTTTGACAACATAAATGGCAGCAGTCAAGATGGTCTACAGCACTGGTTCTCGAACTGGGGTTCTCCAGAAGGTTCTTGGACTAAAACGCCCAGAAGCCTTCTCCATTTGCTGGGCTGGCCAGGATTTCTGGGCACTGCAGTCCAAGAACAACTGGGGAACGAAGTTTAAGATCCAATGGTCTACAGGATAACCTCTTGTGCTCACCAACATTCACAATGTGACACAAAACTTGGAAAAATCCCAGAACTCAACTCCTTTTTTTTCCCCATCAGTGTGCTCCAACACAATGTGACTGTCGGCGCTATTTCTCAAGTCTGAACTGTTGCTGACTCAAAGTCCAAAAGTTATAAATTTATGTACGGGTTGCACCCATTATTAGAACTGCTTTATTTGCTGCCGACTCAAGATCCTCATTCTCCAAGCAGCCTACCTCACCGGGTTGTCCTACAAAATGACCCCAAGCAGTAGAAATAAGTAAGCCTGAGAGAGAAAAAAAAAAGAACATATAAAAGAAATACCGTGAGCTAATGGCAAGCATGAGGGCGGAGAGAGAAAGAAGGGACAAGAATGAAGGTGGTAATTAGCCTGGTCTAACGCCAAAAAGGTAAATCTTGGACTACAACTCCCAGAAGCCTTTGCCAGCAGAGCAAATGTGGGGGCAGCTTCTGGGAGTTGTAGTCCAAGGGATGCAAGTTTGGGAACCCCTGGTCTAGAGCACTGGTTTTTAACCTTGGGTTACTCAGGAGTTTTGGACTGCAACTCCCAGAAGCCTTCACCACCAGCTGTCCTGACTGGGGTTTCTGGGAGTTGCAGTTCAAAAGCATCCGAGTAACAAAGGTTAAGAACCACTGGTCTAGAGGTTAATGGTGTTATTTGATCTCCTTGAACTAGACCCGTAGGTTCCCACCTTTGGGTCTCCAGGGTTTCTTGGACCACAACTCCCAGAAGCCTTTGCCAGCACAGTGAGTGGGGAAGGCTTCTGGGAACTGTAGTAAAATAAAAAAAACCTCACAGGACCCATAGTTGGGCCCTATAGCTCTACTCTATAGAGACCAAGGTGGGTGGATGGGGGGGAAATAAACCAGAGAGGGAGGGAGGCGACGTATCAAAGGAAAGTGGCCTACCTCACAGGGGTGGTGGTGGTGGCCGCCCCCAAGATTCGGGCTGCCCGAGGCACCCTGTGAAAGGGATCTTTTTTTTTGGGGGGGTGACTTTTTTTCCTCACACCCCCTTCCCACAAGGCCTTGCGGGGTGGGGGAGGGGAAAGCCAAACCCCCCTCCCCCCAGGAAGCGAAAGGCCACAAAACGCCTCCCCCCTCCCGCCCAAAAACAGGGGTGGGGGAAAACCCTCACAACTACTGAGGGCGGGGGGGGGAAGGTCGACGCGGGGCCCCCTCAGGACTCCCCTTCCCTTCTCTTGCTTCTCCCCCCCCTTCGCGAGGGGCGCACCTGCAAGTCCTCCCGGGCGTCCGCCCCGCGCCGCGAGCGAGCGAACCTCCCTGCCGGCCGAGCCGCTTACCTGCGTCATGCCGAGCGCCGAGCGGAAGGCGGCAGGGGCGGCCGGCGGAGCGCCGCACCATCGATCGCTGGCCGGCCTCTCGGGGCTCCCTGTGGAGGGGGCGGGTCGGGGAGGAAAGGGCGGGGCTGGCTGCCCGGGTAGAGCTTCGTTGCCGAGGCAACGGCCAGCTGAGTAGGCCTCACGGGCCTACTTGGGCCAGGCCGCCGTTCTAATCCGCGGCCTCATGGGTTCAGTTTTTAACCGAGGAGTCCAATTGCCGTTGGGCTTGATGGGGCCTGTTCCATCACAGCCTTTGGGGGCGAATCGGGGCCGCGGCGCGGAGGGAGGGAAGGAGGATGTCGTAGGATGGGGTGTATAGGATCGCTCTGCGACCCTTTCGGAGGCTTAGAGGTCGCGTGCCTGCCCAGGAGCAGCCCTTGTTACACTTAGTTTTTAAAAGGCACATTAGCAATTTTTTTGGGTCTTCTTCATTTGTTTTTTTCTCTCTCTTTTTGCTTTTCCCCTTGTAAAGGTGGCAGGATTAAGAGGACTACAAGTCCCAGCGTCTTCTAGGACTGGGGGTGTATGGGAGATGTGATCCTGAAAAAAGGGGGTTTTTTTGCAAAGCTTTGGGCCCTGAGCCCTGATCCTCCTGAAAATGGCTTTGATCTGCAGAGATAGCCAACCTGAGTAGTCCCACTGAAATAGGCAGCGTGGTGTAGTGGTTAGAAGCCCTCTGGATTTGAGGAGGATCTGGGTTCTAGTTGGACCATGAAACTCACTGACTTTGGACCACACAATCTCTTTGTTCTCTTTAAGCTTGACCCTACCTCGTAGGGTTGTTGCTGTTCAGAATAGGAGACAACAGGACTGTATATGCCGTTTTCAGCTTCTTCGTGGAATGGAAAGCTTTAAAAAAGCAGCACAACCGAATGAAGCTCCATCCATTTTGAGTGTTTCAATTTCTACAGGTGCAACAAGACCACTTTGGAGCAGGGGCTGTTAGGCCAAGGACTGCCCTTTTGCAAACCAAGCCCTAGGAAGAAAGACTGGAAGAGCTGAGCATGTTTAGCCTTGAGAAAAGAAGACTGAGAGGAGATGCGAAGAACAGCACTCTTCAAAGACTTGAAAGGTCATCCTACAGAGGAGGAGCAGAATCTGTTCTCTATCACCCCAGAGTACGGGACACGTCATAATGGGCTCCGGCTACAGGAAGCCAGATTTCTGCTGACTATCAGAAAAAAAAACTTCTTAACTGTTAGAGCAGTACAGCAATGGAAACAATCACCTCAAGAGGTGGTGAGCGCTCCAACGCTGGAGGCATTCAAATGAAAGTTAAGACAACTGCCTGCCAGATCTGCTTTGTTTTGGATTCCAGTCTTCAAGGCCCCTTCCAACTCAGTTCTATAATTCTGTAATAAAGACAGTTGCTAATATCCAAAGCAACTTGTGCCACCTAGAGGAATAAACCTACCTCTCTGCCAGCCACCCCCAGAGGGCAACCTATCTAACTCGGAGGGATGAAGAAACCTGCTTGCCAGTCATTCCTCTAACCCTATGCCTACACCTGCCACTGCACCACCTCTTGGTTTCGGAGGTAAATGCCTATGCCACCGATGTCTTTGGAACCTCTGTCACTTTCCTTGAGGGGGGTACCTTCTTCATGGCTGTATAACTTGGATTTCCGAAACCCAAACTTCACCAAGCTTGGCGGGATTGTAGAGGAGAGGCAACGGAAGCTTCTGTGCAATTTTGGTGTCTTGAGGTGCCTGGGGGCACTTTCCAGTGTATAACTCAGATATCTGAAATGCAAACTTCTCCAAATGTACAGGGCTGGGGAAAGAGAGTCAGGGGAAGCTTCTCTGCACACCCATTTTATATGGTTTCTGCTTCCCATTATCCAGGTATGTCGGCCTCTTTTTCATTAGATGCGAGACATACTGTACTCAACAAATTTCTTTTCCTTGGCCGTTTTCTCTCTGCACCAAGATTTCTTGGCTTCCGGTGAAAATTTGATCCTGCTCCCCCTCCCCACGCACATTTTTGCATGTTCGTTTGCACAAGAAACTACCAAATTCTCCGCAGCCCAGTGCCCTTTTGGAGAAATCTTGCAATGGAAACAAGTTGTGAAACATCAAAGAAATCTCACAAAGGTGGTTGTAGTTTTTCAGGCCATGTTCTGGAGGTTTTTCTTCCTAATGTTTCACCAGTCTTTGTGGCCGGCGTCTTCAGAGGGCAGGAGTTAGAACTCTCTTAGATCAGATCCCAGCCATTGAAAGCCTTAGAGTATACAAATCTCGCAAGATTTCGCGGGAGATAAAAAAGGAAAGAAAACATGTGGACAGAAGTCTCTGAGAGCTGAAAAGGATTCCCCCCCTCCTTCCTCAGCTTCTCTCTGGAATGAGATGGTAAAATGAGCAGAATCGTAAATCGAGGAGTGTGTTTCTAAAAGAAGAGCTGGCCTGTGTTTGGGGAGGAAAAGACCAGTTGAGAAGAAACAAATGAAATGTGTTTAGCTATAGGATCCCATCTAGGATAGAGTTTACCTTCCTACGTGCTGGGACAAGAACTGGAACAGAATTGACAGAAGGAATGTGGTCATTCTTAAGGACATCAGATTCTAGAAGGTCTATATAGACAGTGTCAAAGAGGACAATGGGATAGATAAAGAAAAGGAGAAACCCACCCAATTATTTCCCCCACTGCTGCCCTTTTAGGTACAGTATATAGGCTTCTTTGCAATTTACTGTTGCACAATATTTCACTTGTTTGGCTGAATAGCTCAATGTGGAGCCAGAAGTTGGGAGTTCAGTTCCTCCCTGTGCTTCCCAGGAGAAAAGCCAGCCTGGGTGGCCTTGGGCAAGCTGCACCGTCCCAGGGCGCCCCCTAGAGGAAAGGAAGGGGAAACCTACTTCTGAGTATTCTCTCCCTAGAAAATTCTAAAACAAGGTCACCGTAGAGTTGACTTGATAGCACATGATGATTTACATTCTCAGCAGGCATTCATGCTCATCAGGTGATTACATGACACATGGAAATATTACCACATTTATTTGCACCATAGCAAAAAACGACAGTTGGTAATTTGAGCAGGAATCAAAGCGCCACCTGCAGTGGTCCAACAGACATTGCCAAAATTCGAGGAATAAGAAGAAAAAACGACAAACAGTAGTTGAACTACAAGATCCTTACTTGCATTTCTGCAATTACCAATTTATAATTTGTGATCTGAATTACATTTTCTACCTGATAACAAGGACTGCTTGATTATCAAAGAAACTTTGCTCTGTACTTGTGCGTGTCTGGAGATATGCTAAAGCAGTGGTCCCCAACATTGGGCCTCCAGATGTTCTTGGACTTCAGCTCCCAGAAATCCTGGCCAGCAAAGGTGGTGGTGAAGACTTCTGGGAGTTGTAGTCCGAGAACATCTGGAGGCCCAAGGTTGGGGACCACTGTGCTAAAGGACACTTCAAAACACATCAGGAAACTCTACGGTTTTCTAAAGGAAACACAGTAAAAGCAAGATGGGTTCCTGTCCGTCCAGGTGGAAGAAAGAGCATAGACTGTTTCAGTGGACGTGGCTCAAGCTACAATTAAAATTTGAATATATTGTTGGGTTTTCTTTGGCAAGTTATAAAACAAAAAGTGGCAGAAAACCATGGGAGGTTTAGAAATATAAGGAGAACGAGACTTAAGACTCTTCCATAACAGAAGACTGGTTGCATCTGCAACATTTCTACCCAAATTTATTTTTCTACATGATGGGGAATAGATTTTCAACTCATTACCATTTTACAAAGCCATAACGAACCATTTTGGTGTTCGGGACTTAGCCGTCCTATCCATTAAGTGCCTGCTTTCTGTTTGCTTCTGTCTGTGGAGAAGTAGCTAGAGGTGGTCTGTGAACCCAGTGGAAGAAAGACCCTCTTCCGACAGCAAATTTTTACAGCCTCCAGATTTTGGTGCCTTGGCTTGAAGTCCCAACCATCCTGCCTTTGGCCTGGCTGTATCATTTTATAACCAACAAAACGTAACAAAAAGATGACAGATAAAATGACAGTGCATTTTTGGGGGGACAGGAATGTGCGTTCACTATAAAAACAGTTTGCATCTAAGGTCCAGAGAAGAAAATGCTACATTTTTACAATGCCATACAGTTACTATGAAGAAACGAAGCTGGCCCCCATTAAATTATGCTCATGTATTTACAGTCCCGAGTTTTTAAGAGACCAGCAGAAAAATCCAACCTATTGTTTCAAAGCAAATGCATGGGTTTTCTGTAACAAAGCTGCCTTTTAACAAGTTACATCATCAGTTCATGAGCTATCTTAGGTGCTGCAAATGTCCACGTTTTCTGCTTAGCCACAGCTCTGCCTGAAGACGTCGGAGAGTGAATTCAGGGCCTTTAATGCGTTAAGCCTGGGTTCTCGCCTTTCAGGATATAGCACACATTTCAAGACATTCCTCATTGTAACTTCTTTCTTTTTGATCATCAATGAGTCCTTCCATTATAAAACAGCTGAGTTTTTGTCCGGATTGCTTATGTCTAATGCTAGAAGCACCTGAGTTTCAGCAGCCACCGTTACGGGCTGACAGCACATTCTTAAAAAAGCAAAAGCTGTCTTGTAGAAAGCCATCCAGCTGCTTTACTGCAATCCGTTCGCCTCTGGTGCAGGCTCCATCTTCAAGATATCTTCATCCCTGCATCTTGTGTGCTTAACGGCAGCAGCTTTCTCTCCTGGAAATCAAAGATCTCCATATTGTCCTCAACTTCCACAGCGATTTGTCTTCCGGGCTCTTTTTTCACTGTGCTTTCTTCCTTTGAAAGAGGAAGTTTGTCTTCCGCTGAAGAACAGCCTCTGGGAACTGCAGGAATGGAACCGTCCAGAGACTGGAACGGCACACTGTGATCCAAATTGCAGAGACTGACGACGCAGCTTACGTTCACATGGGTCTTTCCACTACTGGATTGCTCTGTCAAAAGGAAGAGATCAAGAAGGATTTTGGAGTCATTGTAGGTCACAAGCTGAATAGGATTGTAATGCCTGTATTTCTTTCTTTCTTTCTTTATCATTTCAATTTGTATACTGGCCCATAGTGCCTGGAACACTCTTGGATAATAGTGAACTCTCTCTCCCCCCCTTCTCTCTATGTATATATGCACATACATAGATGCATACATATAGACACACACATATATAAACACACCCATGTAATGGCAAAAGGAAAAAACTAGAAAACAAATATTTTTCACATGCATTGCCAGAACTGGCCACTAGAGGGTGCCAGAGACCACACTATGTATTCTCCATTGTTCATAGCACAGTCTTTGACTCCCTTTAGTGGCTAATTTTGGTAATATACCTAACAATAGTTTTTTCCTGGATTTCTTTTCTTTTAATATTTTCAGACCATGAATGCTGATCCCATGGATAATTGGGGGGGGGTGTCCTACTGTAAGTAGGCAAGGAACACTGGTTACTCATTGAGCAGGGTGTTGGACTCAGTGGCCATTAGGACCCTTCCAATTCAATTATTCTATGATTTCCCCAACCTTGGAAGGATGGAAGGCATGAGACAATCTTGAGCCGGCTACCCGAACCCATCAGGATCAAACTCAGGTTGTGAGCAGAGGCTTAACTGCAGTCCTGCAGTCTAACCACGGCACCATGAGGTTCAGTCTGTAAATTGTGCAGACTGCAAACTGACAGCTTGCAAACTATGTGCTAATGTCTTTACTGAACCCCGTCCAAAAAAAAGAGTCTTCTGGTCATGACAGTCTCTTACTTGAGTCTGCTCTGCTGTGGGTCACACAGTTATTCGGTAAAGGTAACCTTTGCTGAAGTCCATCTGCTTCCATTTTTGGGGTGCTTGCACTGCTGATCCTGCTGCTTTTCTCAGAAGCTTGATCTAAGGAGCCACTGCTGGAAGAAGCTGAAGTCTCCAGCAGATTCTGCTCTTCCTGGCTGTTGCCATCCTGAGGACAACTCCCGGGCAGCTTTTCGGTTGCTGGAAATGGCTGGAACAGAATGGAGAACCAGACTATGAGAGCTATATTCCAGAGAACTAGGACTCAAGGCCACTGGAATTGTGCAAAAAAAAATAATAATTAGATGGTAGTTGTGTTTTTCAATAAGATTTTTCCATCCCAATTATCATAGCAGTTTGCAGTGCTGAGTTGTTAACACTCCCTGGCCAGATTCCTGTTACCAATTTGCATGAGGAAATCTGTGTCTCAGCAGGGAATTGCCACTGCTTAACAAGGTGCAAGTTGCATTTCTGCATGTGTGCCATGCGTAGCCCAGAAACACAAATGAGCTTTGTTCTGTGATTGGTCACTGTCAAGTAAACATGGGCTTCATTTGCAAGTCTGACTGCTCAGAAATGCAGCTGTCACAATCATGTGTCTGGAGAACCAACAGGCTAAACCCAAAACTGTTGCCACACATCGTAAGTTAACCATAAGCTGGTGATCAGGAAGATGCCTGGATAACCAAATACGTCTTTAACCTCTCAGCAGACATTCATTCAGAAACCCAGCTAATCTCTGTGGCAAAGGCCATTCAGTTTTGTGACTATCACATCAGAGATGTCCGATCCAAGTCAACAGTATATTACAACCATATGACCCACATAAAGTAGACATTGAACTATGACTCGTTTTGGGAATTATTCGGAAGGACATTGAGATCCTCTCTCAGAATACCATCAAGAGCAGCTGCTCATTCTGACTAGTTTCCTGGAGTCGACTCCGGCAAGATGCTTTTACATCCAGAACAGGATGTAAAACGTCCTTATAATTGACTTTTTTGGGAACTGGCGATAATAAAGCCAAAATATCCCAGGGCACTTTGTTCAGAGAAATTTCCTGAGAATTCCCATCCAAAATGGGCGGCAGTGGCAGCAGGAGAGTCTGCCTTTTTATTGGGTCAAATCCTGTCTCTTTTTGTTCCTCAATGAATGAGGCGAGGTCCAGAGCATGGCCGGGGGGCGGGGATTCAAAATGGCGGCCAGTCTGTCAAGGACGCCTTGTGGAGTCAGGCCCCTTCCCCCTAACAAGCCAAATATTGCAGGGGATGGAGAAAGAAAACTGGGTTAATGCTAACAATAAACTCCCTCTCAAGAAACTCCATCCACCTCCTTGAGAATATTCAGCAGGAATATGGCTATCTAAAGAATTTCATAGAGATAAGTTAGGAGTGGTAGAAATTCCATTAAGCCTCACTGGATGACTAACCATAAGGCATTCAGTGTTGCAGTGTATTCAATTTTTGGTTAAATTCCTCTAGTTGCACAGCAGAAGTGCAAGGGTTGACAAAGCAGAATCACTTCAAGTTCCCCTTAGAGTAGTCCATCCCCTTTTCTCATTTAACTGGCACTGACAGTCTCCATAATTCATTCTGAGGCATTAGTAACAAAGAATAAATACCATCTTCTTGACTTGTGAACAGATCAAACAGCAAATGAACAAACAGGCTCAACAGAGTGAAAAAGCTCTCAACAGAGAAGGCGGGGCTGTCTTTGAAATCAGAGGCAGGGAAGGAACAATTGGTCAGTCCTGGATTGAATGACAGTCAGCCACCCCTTCTCCAGGCACCATGCAAGATTGTAAAAACTCCAACATTCACCACCTCTTGGACTAATCCACTTCACATTGTTCTTGTGAAAATTAACGGTGAAGGTGGTAAGAACACAATATAATACTTTAAGATCACTGGAGGAAAGGTGGGATATTAATGTAATGAATTTTATAATAAATATATGGAGATCTATTTCCACAGCTTGGGCAAGTTCCTTTTTTTGGACCACAAGTACGTACCAGGATTTTTGGCCGTACCATCCAAAACATGGAACTTTTGCAAACTCTGGCTGTTTCCCATTGATTCCGTAATTTTCATAAGCAGCTGTACCTGTGGAGGGAAGCCTGATGCCCCCCTCTCTCTTCCCCTGCATCTTCCCAGCGGGCTGTCCGCAAGAAAACCAAAGAATTTGTTCCATGAAACAAGAGGCTGGAATGCTTCCATAAGAACGAAGGACTTTCAATTTGTATACTCCCGTGGGGTGCCGACTAAGAAGCGGTTCCCAGAAATAGCATGCATTCCAGCCGTCAGACGCCCTTCCTTGCCAAACAGATTATAAAAGCTACAGAAATTTTATCTGGCACCTCACGGATTGACAAAAGGATCCCCACTTTCGGCTTTCTTACAGTTGCTTTGATAAATATGCCGATATGCCTTTATTTTATCATACTGCTGATGTGGGAGAAAAAAATTGGTAGCATTCTGTTATCACCCTGCTTCAAAGATTGGGCATTTTCATAGGAAATTGTCTTGCTCACCCAGTATTTGGTGACAAGGTAGAGTCGTTTCCAGATGCTGAAGACTGAATGTTCAGATTTTCTCCAGGCAAAGAATCTTCTCTACCGTTGAGTTCTGGTCTATCTCTAATACGGTACCTCCTACACCTTGGTAGTCTCCCATCCATGTCCTAACCAGGTTTGGACCTGCTTAGCTTCCCAAACCAGACAAACTTGGAAGTGTTCAGAATGCGACGCCACTGGGGTATAAGGTGGTACACACAGTTCTCAGAATTTTGGATAGTACTGGCCCAAGGGAGCGGAAGTCTACGGAAGTTAGGCAGATCCATCTGTTCTGAGTTTTCAGGAGTCAGAATACTTTCAGGAAGAGATTCCTTTGCCTCTCACACTGTTAGCCTGTTTCTCATTATTTTGATTTTGTCACACATCGCTCCGAAGTGGAGGAAGAGAAAGGCGATGAACAAACGCTTTGGACCGAGCAAAACACGGAAAAAATATTGCAGCAGTGTTCCAGTAATGACAGTCATGTAAACTTTATACAAAAAGGATGAGGAGGAGAAAGACACTGAATGGGAAGCGGGAGCTGAGAGTGGAAGGGTTGATATCTCGCCTCACCTTTGCCCTGAATGCTCTTATTAAAAACAACAGAGCAAAGTTAAAGTTTAGCTCAAGGCACTTTTATCTTCTACATTTGTAGAGGGACACCAAGCCTCCGAATAGTCAACACGGAGCAAGCTTCCTCTGGATACTCAACATGGAGCAAGCCTCCCCCGGATAGTCGACATGGAGCAAGCCTCCTCCAGATAGTCAATATGGAGCCAGAACCTCTTCTGCACAAAGAGATTCAGTGGCCATCTTCAATGGAGACTTCTTCTGGCCCACACCCTAGTCTGAGTGTCAACAAAGACCTTGGGAAAGTCACTTTTTTAGAGGAGAACTCTCCACTTCTGGAAGTTGGCCAACCAAATGATTACCCCAAGTTCTCGGGCCAGGTTCTATTGCCCTCTGCTTCTCCTCTTTGCTGATGGGCCCCCATTCTGTGTTGTCTAAGGACCCATTGGACAGGAAGAGAAAGTGGCACAAGAACGTCTTGGGAACCAGCCTCTCTCTGTCTCAAGGCAGGCATAAAGACTGGGGCCAGAGGAGGAGAGAACAGGAAAAAGACAGCCTCGCTTAGGGCGAGGGTAGTCATAGAGGCATCTTCTCCAAGCATAGCCCAGCCAAAGGAAAACAACAACCTGGCATCTACACTCAATGCCAAACTAGATGCCAAGGAGGATGAAACCCACTTTCCTTCTCACAATGATATTTCTTTAGGGAACACATTGTAGGAACCAGACTTACAAATTAAACTTGTGTTTACCTTCCAACAACCATTCGAAAAACAAAGCATATTAAATGCAATATAGTGGTGCCTCGCTTAACAATGTTAATTCGTTCCAGCGAAATCGCTGTAGAGTGAAAATGTCGTAAAGCAAAATAAAAAAGCCAGTTGAAACGCATTAAAACCCGGTTAATGCTTTCCAATGGGCTGAAAACTCACCATCCATAGGGGCGGCCATTTTTGGTACCTGTAGAGCAAGGAATCTATCGCTAAGCACAGTGGTGAGCCATTTTGAGCACCCAGTGGCCATTTTGAAAATCCGACAATCAGCTGTTTTGATCGTCGTAATGCGAAGAATCGGTTCCTGAAGCAGGGAACCGATCTTCGCAAAGCGAAAAAAAACCATTTAAAACATTGTTTTGCGATCGCAACTGCAATTGCAAAAACATAGTCATGAAGCGGATTCTTCATTATACGGGGTAATCGTTAAGCGGGGCACGACTGTATATGTAGGTAAGGGGAAAATATCACATGCTATGACAAACAGATTACTTTTATCACTTGAAGGAGCACCTCTTGTAAAAACATGCTAGGCATACTGTCTGGTTTGATCGCGATCTTTGTATTCCAACACTTTAATTGTCAGGCCTCCTTCCAGGGCATCCTGGGATCTGTAATTTAGTGAGGGACTCTGCTAGAGCACTGTAGTGCCATTCACTGAACTACAGCAGAGAATCAATTACCCCTTACCAAACTACAGTTCCCAGGATTCCATTAAGATGGGATCAGGGCAGCTTAACTGGCATCACACTGATCCAGCCATGCAGGGAAGACACTTACCTGTTTTTCATTTCCACACAGTGAAGCACAAGGCTGGCCTGCCAAGAAGAAAAGTACAAGTTTAAATTAACCTCATTTTGTTGCTACAAATTTTTAAAAAGAATCTGTTGGCCAGATTTATTCTGGAGATTCCTGTTGACATAAGAGTAAATCACATGAATCAGAGTGGCCAATTTCCAGTAATTGATCAGTTGCTGTTTACATTCCTGGCCTCGCACCAAACTGCATGACTGGCAGATGACCAGGAATGTAAGCAAGGACTCCTTAATTAGCAGCCATTTCCCACCATGATTTACACACCTGTTTTTGTGCCAGTAGAAATCTCCAGCAGGATTCTGCCCTTATGTTTATTTTTGTTTAATTTTTTTAAAAAAAGATAACGAATTCAAACAGGTACTCTTCTAAAAAGTCTTATCTGACCCAGAAACCGTGTGTACCTTCTAGGGGAATTCATTCATTACCTGACATTATTTCTTCAGGACAGGAATAAAGCTGGCCATATGTCTATTTTCATCAATGACTTCCTCTTTTGCAAATGGATTAAAAAAAAAAGTCCTCACATTTTATGAGCGAATGCCGAAAGGAGAAAACCCAAGTATGGACAAATCCTTTGGAATCAGGAGCAGGCAACCTCCAAGGGCCCAAATACTGTTGGGAGTTTTCACAACCTCGCAGGCTGCCTGTAGTTTGAATGACTGAAGAGGGGCACCTTTATTGGCTGGGGTGACTGTCAATCAATCCAGCACCAACTTTCCCTGCCTCCGAATTCAAAGAGAACACATGCCTCTCTGTTCAGTGCTTTCCCTCCCTCTCCTAAGTCTGTTGTAGCAGCCCGTTGTCTGTTTATTAGTATGTTGTTTGATCTGTTCGACCGTCATAAGCTTTTATTCTTTCTCCTACTCAGAGTGAGTTACTGAGACTGTAAGTGCCAGTTGATGAAAAAAGGGGTGGACGACTGGGAGGAAAATCAAGCTATTCTGCTCTGTAAATGGCTACACTTTTGTTGTGCAGCTAAAGGAATTTAACCCAAAAAATTCAAAACTCTAACAAAATGCATCCCCTAATGCCACCCCTATAATTAAACACTATTTTGGAGGAGAAAATTCAAACATTCCGTTTGTGCCCTCTAGGGGGAGTGGTGGACATCTTTAAAGGGACTCACAGCACCCCTGTGTTCACCTTATACCCACAATTTAAAAAAATGGACACTAGAGGGCAGAAGAGAGTTTTCTGAGCCATAAACCTCCCCATTTATATACGCTTCAAATTCCAAAATCTAAGAACTTGGAACAATATATGTGCCTTTAAACTGAAGCTGGAGTTTTTTTTTAATCTGCTTCAGAGACCAATCTCAGTCCTTTCCCTTGGTTTTTTCCATTTAAGCAAACCAGAAGACACGAAAGCATCCCGTTGCCGTTAGAAAGCCAGCCGAGTGGCCCCGTCTGTATGTACTTACTTTTATTATGAAATGCAAAGCAGAGGAGGGTCCCACTAATCAACGCGAAGAGGGCAAACATTTGGTTTTTTCCATTTAAGCAAACCAGAAGAAACGAAAACATCCCGTTGCTGTTCAAAAGCCAGCCGAGTGGCCCCGTCTGTATGCACTTACTTTTATTATGGAATGCAAAGCAGAGGAGGGTCCCACTGATCAACGCGAAGAGGGCAAACATTGCTCCAGCGGCCCAACCTGGGGGGGGGGGGAGAAAAGCAAACTAAAAATGTTGCAAATTGCGCAGAAATTGCACAGAAGGGATCTTGGGTTGTAAGCTCCCCAAGGAGCTTAAAACCAAATATTTGCAAGAAGGAATTCGCCTGTGAAGGTAGGCGCCTTACAAGGAGGCACACCAGCCATTTGGGGTTTTCCAAGTTTTATCCAGAAATGCTACAAAGTAAGCCAGGGACGCTTAGGGATCAAAGCATGGACTAAGTATGGTTTTCGAGCCAGTCTTTCCTCCTCGGCTTGGTTTCCAGTCCTTCGATCATCCTTGTTGCCCTCCTTTGAACGTGTTGGCATCTTTCTTAAAGTATGGTGTCCCGAACTGAACACAAGACTCTAGATGAGGTCTAACCAGTGCCAACCAAAGGAAGCACTACTTCACACACACAGCGTACTTCAAACTGTGGAACTCAAGCCCACAAGAGCTAGTGAGGGCTGCCAAAATGGACTGGATAAACTGGTAAAAGTAAAGGTAAATGTTCCCCTTGACTTTTAGTCCAGTCGTGTCCAACTCTAGGGGGCGGTGCTCATCCCTGTTTCCAACCCATAGAGCCAGCGTTTGTCCAAAGACAACCTTCCATGGTCACATGGCCAGCGCGACTAGACATGGAATGCCGTGACCTTCCCACCGAGGTGGTCCCTATTTATCGACTCGCATTTACATGCTTTGAAACAGCTAGGTTCGCAGGAGGTGGGACAAGCGACAGGAGCTCCCTCCGTCACGTGGATTCGATCTTACGACGGTGGGTCTTCTGACCTTGCAGCGCAGAGGCTTCTGCGGCTTAACCCACAGCGCCATCACATCCCTTCAGGGACCAGGATAGTCAATGGCTAATAGTTACATGACTAAGCATCACCTCCGGTGTCACATTCACTATCTCTCAGTTTATTGATCGTTGGTTAACCAAGGCAGAAGGTACAGTTGCATCGATCTCCTGCTTATAAGCGTCCCAAAGACAACTGGCTGGCCACTCTTAGAAGAGGACCGGTCGAGCCTGACTTTTCTGATGAGAGGAAGAGCTCAGAAATCTCAGGAGGGACCCTGTTTTTGTCACCTTCCCCGTTCGTGAATTCAACCTTGCTCACCAGCAGCGGATGATACGTCTCCGGGAGGGTCTTTCTTGACGGGCAGAGTCAGATCTTCAGTAACAGAATGCTGCGTGGGTGACGGCCCGCTTCCCCTCGCTGTGGTGTGCGGAGAAATGGTTCCTCCACCATTCGGCCCCCGGGGCTCTCTGCAAACGTTATCGCTGGTGCTATTTCCCGGGATGAGTATGGACTTGCAACTTCGAGGGCGGAAGAAAAAAGGACATTAGAAACGCACAAAGAACCCTAAAAACGCTAGGAACAATTGATAGTTTAAAAGGCTAAACTTCAGCAGAATATCTAATATGGATGGTCATTGGCCTGTTTTTGGTTTTTCTGCAAGCCTATCAGTTGATTGGCTGAGGTTATATTTAGAGATGGGGATATTCGTAAGCCAAATACGAATGCCCCTGTTATTGGCTGCAACTCATGTGGATCCGGACCCTGGAACCGGCCCGTCTACTCACGCACTGCAAGCCTCCCATGGAAGTCGCTCCTCCGTGTCCGTTAAAGCATCAATGGGATTTCTTTCTACCTCTTTGTTTCATTTTTGCAGTTACAGTGGTGCCTCGCATAGTAATCTCTCCGTTTTACGACGAAATCGCTTTGCGACACTGTTTTTGCGATCGCAAAAGCGACTGCTTTGCGATGTTCCCTATGGGGAAAATTCGCTTTATGATGATCGCAGAGAAGCGATCATCGCAAAGCCCCCATTTTCGGCTAGCTAATTGGCGGTACCAAAATGGCCACCAGGTAAACAAAATGGCCACCCTGCTGTGTTGCCTCACTTTAGAGGCACCGAAAATGGACACTGCAATGGAGGATTTTCACTTAAGGTTAGTTTTGAAGCCCACAGAACTTCAAATGGCATTTTAATGCGTTTCTATGTGCTTTTTAATATCGCTTAGCAATGAAATCGCTTAGCAGCAATTTTTGCTGCATGGATTAACATCACTAAGCAAGGCACCACTGTACTGGGATCAAAACTGGAACAAATACATTACAGGCCTGGATAGCTCAGGGATTGAGGTCTTTGATACTTGGTAGAGGTTTATTGTTTCCTTCCACGGAGGATCCTTTTGGACGTTGCAGCTTGCCCAAGTCTATCCGGGCGGGCTCGTTTCTTGGCAGCCCAGTGGGGAATCAAACTCCCGACACCTGCACCCAACTCACTGAACTATGCACCCAGCTTTTCTAGCCATGGGATTTAGGGTGTTTTGGAAGACAAATCCCATAGTTCTGCTTTCTGTGAGCTCCAAAGGAAGATCCACACCTACACACAGCTACATGTGGCTCACCTGGAACAAAGGCCTCGCGTGGGCATCGTTCTTGGCCTCATTTCCTGTTCAGAAAGGAAGTTGCCCCACTGCTAACCAGGAAGTTCCTTTCTGAACAGGATGCAAGGACCAGAACGATGCCCATGCTAGGCCTTTGCTCCAGGTGAGCCACAGCTAGGCCTCTACAGGTGTGGGTCTGTCATGTGGAATCCCTAGAATGGAGAATTGTGGTGTTTGTAGTCCAGAACACCCACAAATCACATGTTCAGCCTGAAAATAAACCCAAACTCCACCCCCGTGATGACCACCGCACACGTTCCCTCTCAGAGGTGCGGAGACATATAAACAAAAGAGATGTGGCAACTTACATCGTGTGGGGCTTGCACTCTTCAGTAGGAGATTCCACATCTGAAAATGTTCCAGGACGACAAGGGGCGCATTGCAGGTCTCTGGTTTTTGTACCTATAAAGCAATACACTTTATAAACAAAAACAGCCCTCAAAAATAAAGCCAGTTGACCCCTGTCCAACCATCTCATCCTCTGTCGTCCCCTTCTCTTCTTGCCTTCACACTTTCCCAACATCAATCCAGTAGCAACCAACTGTTCCCTCTCTCTGCCTCAGAATTTTGGAGACACGATTTCTACTTATTATAAACAAAAACAGCCCTCAAAAATAAATCCAGTTGACTCCTAATGGAGAAAGAAAGAACAAGCTTCATTTAAGTCCAGTCCCATGTTTTTACAGTAGAGAAAACCTGGCTCACACCATCCTCTGGCTGCTTTGGACAATGTTGCCGTAAAGGAGAGACACGATTTCTACTTTAGTTTTCCTTTCCCATTCTTTAGTCCCTCAGGAGTTACTTAGACGGTTTACAGTGAGGAGTCTTCAGTTAAAGTACGTAGTCAGTCACGCATGTAGTCGGTATTCCGCTAGTTAATCAGTTACACTCTGTTCATGTAACCTGCCATTATTTTTCTACAATGTGCAGGGTTTTTAAAAATCTATCCCAAACTGTGAGTAAATTTTTATTTTTTATTCTTTCTCTTACCACTGTCTCTGAGAGAGTTACTGAGACAGTAAGTGCCAGTCAAGAACTAAGCAATCACATGTGGTCTAATGTGGGGAGAGTAATTTTAAAGCTAATTTTACTCTGTAGGTTTCTGAACTTTTATACACTGCATAGTTAGAAGGCTTTTAAGCCAGAATTATTTTTCATGCTGTTTTTTTGAAATCTTATTTCTACTATTTAGAGTCAAAACAGCCTTCCTGGCTCTTTGTAACTACGCTCCAAATTTCTGCCAAATTTCTTGCCCTTTTCATCACGGAAATTTCCCATCCCTGTCGCTTTGTCTTGTGCAAGGAAACACACAATAGCATGTTTCTATTCCCTGACATTCCTGGATGGAGCATTCTAGGCAGGAAGACTACCAGGCCCATAATGTCTTGCAGATCCATTAAATATAAAGCCATGCCACAGTGGTTCCCAACCTTGGGTTCCCAGTTGTTCTTGGATGACACCTCCCAGAAATCCTGGCCGGCCCAGTTGCTGGTGAAGCCTTCTGGGAGTTGTAGTCCAAGAACACCAAAGCTGGGAACCATTGCATAGAAAATCCTGCAGACTTCTGGGGCCTCTAAGTCCAAGTCTTTAGAAAAGCCCATGCTTCATCACAACTTGAAACGTTATATAGAAAGGGAACAGTGAGACAAGAACAATGGGACTGAGCCGGCTGATCAACAACCCCCAGAAAGCTACAGCTTACCCACCCATATGCAACCGGTCGCCACTTTGGCTGTTACCAGACTGACCTGGTCTCACGACTCCATAGCCTCTTTGGCACAAGGGAAGAGCCTCACAGCGGAGACACACCCCTTTGGAGATCCTCTGGCTGCAGAACTGGTGAGGCTGGCACCAGCAGTGCCGGTTCTGTGTCGCCTTGCATGCCGTCACTTCCACAAATCCTAATTCGAACGGAAATAGAGGTCGTCAGGCAAGTAGGTGGGGAACGGCTGACACCTGAACCCCTGATCTACGAAGCCAGTGCTTAAGTTAACGGAGGGAGGGAGGGAGAAAGCGAGGGAGGAAGGAGCTGATGATGGATGGATGGATGGATGGATGCCATTGGACGCAGAGTACATAACAAAGGAAGGAAGGAAGGAAGGAAGGAAGGAAGGAAGGAAGGAAGGAAATCCATTTACCAGCTCTGCATGGTGGGTCGCATCCTAAGCAGCGTTCCGCTCTGCTCCACACCAGTGTATACGTCCCTTCCTCGCATGGCACACACTGTGTATTGACAGTTTCATTGCAGCTGCGAAGCACACGAGAACCTACAAAGACAAAAATAGTAGTAACAACAAATGCTCTCAGAAAAACGGGAGAACAGATCTCTTTAGAAGACTTGTGTTCTGTGGCCCTTCAGTGTCGTGGAGGCATTTACCCTCTTTGATCCTTATTTCTGCACGTGGAGCCCTTGTGCATTGAGCGAACTACGTGAGCCATGCGATTCTCTATGCACTCCTTCCCAACTTTGGGTCCCTAGATATTCTTGCAACTTGCAACCCAAGCCATCCACCTGGTTTGCCGCTGAAACTTTAAGCCCTCCCTTCATCAAAGCAATCCCTATTTCTTTAATTTTTTTATCAGAAATTACAGATGTATATCTTTTGTGATCGCTCCTAAAAAGTTTGAAGTTCTTTTTTTCCCCTTTAAAAAAAAAACACGAAAAATCAACAAATTAAAAAAAAAAATCTAAAACTGTTCAAATTTTAAAGGTGCTCTTGAAAGCGTTTCTGCAGGAAGGAAACGAAAAGTTGTCTCAAAAAGAAATGAATCTTCAGGGGCAGATCATTCAGCTGACTCAGGCTGTATAAAAGAGAAAAAAATGAGATCAGCAAAATGGTATTTGCTTGAGAGGGATTGTTCCCAGAAACTACGAAGGTTTGTGTCAGTGGAAAGACTGCTACTGATTTTTGAACTGTGTACACAAAGACAGTATTGACTCTGGACACGCTTACATTCCTGTAATTTTATGTTCTTTCTGTATTTATCTTGAACTTTTAAGATTGGGAAAAGATTTTAACCTTTAGCATTACCAGGTTGGGCTGGGAGAGATTAATATTTAGATCGTGTGAATGTTAATGTTGTGAGCCGCTTTGGGTCCCTTATTGGGAGAAACGTGGCATATAAATAAAACTAATAATAATAATATTTAAAAGCCTTGTGAGCCTCTTAGATGAGGGGTCAGCAACCTTGAGCCCTGTTGACAAAACTGGCCCTTCTAAGCTAGCTCTCTAAGCTCCCTATACAGCTTTTGTTCCCTGTTGTTAGTATTTCCCTCCCCCTTTAATCCTGAAAGTTTGGAAAAACTTTCTTAAGGCTTAATTAAGAGCTTGAACCTTCAGCTTAAAAGATGTCAAGCTCCACGGTCTTATGGGCATTGACCTGAGGTTGTCCTACTGGTCATTATAAGGTAGCTTCTTTTGTTATTCAGATGGATACACATTCAGACAGACGTGTCTGCATGCAGTAACTTGTTGCTCTGTTTACGTAAGCTCATTTCCTTCTGTTTTTTTTTCTTGGTCATTTTCTTGAACTTTTCTACAACAGCAACACACTGGAGAGCGTAAACACAAGGCATTGCCCTTTGACTCTGCTCACTTTTGAAGCGTTTTCGGGAAGAAAGCACATGCGGTCAATGCCTCCCTCCCACAGGAAGCCCGAACTTGACTTCCTTCTCTGTAGAAAGCCAGATTTCCAAATCCTCCAGTGAAATATTATTTCCCAGGGACAGGAAAAGCAAGCAAACACCAGAAGGCTTAGTTAGAATCACATCTGTCCTGGACTGTTCATGGCCAAGATTTAAAAAGCTGGCTTGGAGAGAGGGAAAAACCAAACACGCAATTACAAGATGGGGGATACTTGGCTCATTCATATTACGAGTGAGAAGGATCTTGGAATGGTTGTAGATCACAAGCTGAAGATGAGCCGACCGTGTGAAGTGGCTGCAAAAAAGGCAAATGCCATTTTAGGCTGCATTAACAGCCATCTAGTCTCCAAATCCCACCAGGTGCTAGTTCCCTCTCTGTTCGGCGCTAGTTCAGCCTCATCTAGAGTCCTGGGTCCGGTTCTGGACACTGTACTTTTAAGAAGGATTGCCAATGAAGTGGAGCAAGTTTGGAGGAGGGCAACAAGGATGATTAGGGGGCTGGAAACCAAGCCCTAGGAGGAAAGACAGAAAGAACCGGGCTTGTTTAGCCTTAATAAAAGAAGACTGAGGGGAGATAGGATCACACTTTTCAAAGACTTGAAAGGCAGTCATCCAGAGGAGGGGCAGAATCTGTTCTCAGTCATCGCAGAGTGCAGGATACATCACAGTGAGCTCACGTTACGGGAAGTCAGATTTCGGTTGAATATCAGCAAAAACTTCATAACTGTTAGAGCAGTACGACAATGGAACCTTGGGAGGTGATGAGCTCTCCAAGGCTGGAGGCTTTCAAGAGAAAATAAGACCACCACTTATCAGATCTGCTTTGATTGGGATTCCTGCATCGAGCAGGGGTTGGAATGGATGGCCTTCTAGGCTTTTTTCCCCCAACTCCATTGTTCTATGATCCTATGAACTGTGGTTCGCTTTTCCTGCAAGAGGCACTTTTCCTACATTGCATTTGAAGAGCTAAATTGGATTGGAGGATCCCTGCAATCGGTGGGTTGTGAAACACCCAAGAGGATGAGAGATCCTTTAATGGACACTTTATGCACACTCGTTGGCCTTCTTCCAGGGTGAAGGGGGGGCAGAGATGGGGCAGAAGCCACCCTTCCCTGCAAGCCAAGACTCCTTAAACCCCTGGGAGCTTAGACTTTGAGGCGGGGAAATATATTAAACTGCAGAGACATAGATAATGATTTGCTCAGATTCATCTGTACACACACCTTTGCGCCACTTAGGATCCACGCAATCTCAATCTAAACTGAATACAGATCCGCTATGGTATTCACTCACTGCACTTCTCCTTTCTTTTCTAGATGGTTTTTGACTCAAGTGTTTGTTTATGCTTCATCAGCTGCCGCCGTCTTCCTTCCTCTCCTTTTTTAACAATATTTCAAAAACCAGTGTCCTAAGTTACACAAGCGCTAGCCAATCAGTGCTAGCCAATCAGTGCTGTACAGAAGTCACAGATCGCCCTCCTGGCCTGTGAGTCTGGTATGCAGTGTGCTGTTTGTTTTCGTTCTGAAGTCCCTGTGTGCTTTATCAGTTCAAACATTGGTCTGAAGCTTCCTCTTACCTTTTTTTTCTCTTCTTTTTCTCCATTTAATTATCTAATCAGAACTGTGCCAAACCTTTCTCCGGAAAGAAAGGGGAATGAGAAACACAAGAGCCAGCCAATCTAGGCAGGATTGTTCCCGAAGATCAGTGGGAACTACATGGGCTGTTTACTCCACAGTTTTTGTCGGCACAGAGGAAATCAAATTAAAACCCAGCGATTACATGGCAAACAGTTAGGCATGGTTAAGCCTGTGTTTTTCAATAAGGATTTATCTCTTTTGTTCAGCCAGCAAGGAGAGGTTTATTCTGCACTGATTCTTTGCTTTCTGCCCAGTGTGACTGGCCGATAAACAGTCACGTGTAGGTGTCAGTTCCCTTCAAACAAGTGCCTGTTGTTTCCAAACTGCTTCTTTTCAACACTTTCCAAAGTGTGTGCTGCATTAGATGCGCGCTATGTCACTTTGGAAAAATGGAAATAAATAAATAAAAGAAGTGAAATGAAAGGGTCATCCAGGAGGAAATTGCTAATCTCATTTCATATCTTTCTGCCTCTGCTGGCTGCCACAACATGATGATTGTCTGCATTCGTCCGGATGGCTGGAGCGATTTCCCCTGTGGAATGCTGCCCAGTTTTGAAAAATCTCCAAATCAAGACAGGTTTTCCCTGCTGTATAGTTCCACCCACAGTCTGGTGCAAAAGACTGAGTCATATTTTGAGAGCCTTAAAATAAGCCAGTCAGAGTGAGACCACAGAAAAATTCTGTATTACATGTGCCACAACACTATCAGATCTTAGAAAACTGGAGAACTAAATTGCAAGGACCTCTGGATCGTCGGGTCCAGCCTCTGTCAAGGAGGCACCATGGAGAATCAAACTCCTAACCTCTGGCCAGAGGAGGTGAGGCTTTGAACAACTATCCTGCCCTCAACAGCCCTGCCCAGCTGTTCTAAAGTTGAGTCTGTGGCTTCCTTTGTGGATTTAGTCCATCCCATGCGCAGTCTTCCTCTTTCCCTGCTGCCTCCAACTTTTTCCTAGCAACTAGATCAATACTTAAGGCTTAGAGGAATTTGTTACCTGGAGGACACGAGCTGCAACATTTATTGATGGCTTCAACATAGTGTTCCAAATTGGGATTTTGACACTTCTCCGGAAACTGAGGGGTGTACGGTAGCGAGAGCACCTGTGGGGGGGAGGAGGAGAGGGGGGGAAAGGGGTGTTACTCTACTTTACCTTCACAACACAGAGTGAAAGAAGCTGCCAATTCTAACCAACTCTGCACAACTCTCCCTGTAACCAGACGTTCCTTGCTTCCCCCCTTCCCCCCAATTATCCAGAGTGTCATCAGAGACATAAAATGTATGCACCCTCTTCACTGTTACAGAGAGACTATCCCGGCATTCACGATATATTAGACTGCAACCGTCTGACAAATCTGGACCGGCTGGAATGTTGTATCCAGGATAGTCATCAGCCCCAACGGAATGGGGTACAAGTATTGGCCAAAACCCAATCAATACTGGGATACAATTATTACTGAGGCTCTCTGGATAAAACTTGAGCCACATTCCATCCACAGAAATAACGATGATGCTTTTAGTGCTTGCTTAGAAGCCTTTGTTTTTTTAAACTGGATAGATGTGGCAGGTTGCTCTTCTATAATGTTGATTATAATATTAATGTTAATTTGCCTGAGCTTGGTTTGAAACTTTACCCAGTTGGTTTTGATTGCACTTTGTTCTTAAGGTTAGTGTTGTTTCAGTTGATATCGCGCAGGATTATTGCCATCGAAAGCTTGGACTCTATAAACAATAAGCATGTATTGGCACGATGGGAAACCCATGAGCTATTTATGCAAAGCATACGTCATGAAAGACTGAGATTTCTAAAAAAATTAATGAGTTGGAAGAGGCCTGTGAGGCCATCAAGTCCAACCCCCTGCTCAAGGCAAGGAACCCAAATCAAAGCAGATCTGCCCGGTGGTTCCCCAATCTCCGCTTGATTGCCTCCAGCGCTGGAGCGCTCGCCACCTCCTGAGTTCATGGGTTCCGTTGTCATACTACTCTAACAGTTCAGAAGTTTTTATTCTGATATTCAGCCAAAATCTGGCTTCCGATCACTTGAGCCCATTATTACATGCCCTGCACTGTGGGATGATCAAGATCAGCTCCTCCTCTGTAGGACTACCTTTCATGTCTTTGAAGAATGCTATTTAGTTGGCAGTAGATGAGGTGAAAGTGTTTTCATCATTATACAATCAGTATCAAATTCTCAAGAGGACAAAGTCTACCAGAACGGAGTGCCAGTCGTTGCAGAGGGGCTCCTGGGTGAGTCAAAGCACTCGCCTGTAGAGACTCCCTCATTCATGATGATCAACATGGGGACAACGTGGCCCTGGGGTTAAGAGGAGACTTGTGTGTCGCTGGAGGCCAGATTATCGGGGCAAAGAAAAAGCCCCAGCTCCCCTGACGCTTTCCCCAGCTGAGAATCAAGCACAAGGCATTGTGCTCTGGTGGAGCCAGCTTCAGAGATCATTTTTCCATTCAGTCAGAAGTTAAATGCTAAGCAGTTGTCCTACTGTGTCAACGGGAAGGAACAGGAGGGAAATTAAACAAGAATCAGTAGGCACCACCTACGTCTGACTTTGGCTTCCCTTCCCTTGTCTATCAGCCACCGCTGCTTGGGGAACCCATAATCGGTGCCCAAAAACCCACCCTTGAGGGAGTCAACGTAGCCCCCTCAACTTGAGAACCCTTCCAAAGCCCAGCCAAGGAGGCACAGAGATCGGGAAACCGAGACACCACACCCTGTGTGCGTGGTGACGTTGTTTCCAAGGAGGAAAATGAGGCTTATTCTGAAGTAGCTCAAGTGTAGGAGTTTAATGGTGTTATATGCTATTACTAACTTTAAAAAAACAACAACGATTAGAACAGTCCAGGGTGCAAAAAGGGGACGTTGTGGGAGGGAAAGATCCTGATCGTGATGTCTGCAGTCCTTTGCGCCGACGACGCCCCATCCTAAATTTAGGTGTGTAAAACCGTCAGGAGACGCATGAAATTTAATCAGAGGAACTGATCAAGTACCAACCAGGTATAGGCCCCAAACATACATTATTTTTATATCAACCCCAGGGAACTAAAGAAGATTGTCCCATGGTAGCTAAGAGAAATCCTCTGTTTCTCAGCCTTGCAGAAAGAGAAAAATGGTTGGATTTCAATAACAGGATGGCATTTTTAGTCGTTCTCAGCAACAGCTTAAAAATAGGATACAGAAGTAGGGCACTTCTCCGTTTAAGCCGGCTGAGAAAGATCAGGCAAGTTCTTGTTTGCCTTTTAAGTGTCTAACACGTTTGAGAAGCACGGGGCAAAAACAGTGACTCTGTTCGGGATGTGACCAAAAATGAAAATTAAATATACAGTAAAAAACAGGAAGAGGTGACTACCGGTCTGGCTTTGGCTGTTCTTGGCTTTAATTCTCAGCTCAGAAAAAGAAAAAAATGCTAGACGTCAACTAATGACTTTCTTCGTTAAGGAGGTGCACATTCTCATTTCAAGGAGCCCACTGAGAATGGCCAGCAATGCTTCGGTGCTAGAAAGAATTTGAAAGGAAAAGCGGTATGTGAACGGCAGACGCCACTGCCAAGGAGGGTAACAAGATGGGAAGGTGAGTAAAAGGGTCTGAGCAGAACTTTGGGGAAATCTGGATTTTAACCCTCATGTTGTCATTGGATGACCTTGAGCTAAACTAGCCTACTTTGCAAGGTCATTGTGAGGATACAGCAGCAGCGAAGGCAGGAAAGAAGCATCAAAGAATCATTGAGTTGGAAAGGGGCCTATAAGGACACTGAGTTGATCCCCTGTCCGATCTCCTCTTGAAAGCCTTCAGTGTTGGAGCACTCATCACCTCTTGTGGCCATGGGTTCCATTGTCGTACTGCTCTAACAGGAATATCAGGAAGTTTAGAGTACTACTCTAACAGTTGGGAAGTTTTTCCTGATATTCAGCCAAAATCTGTCTTCCTGTAACTTGAGTCCATTATTTATTTATATATTTATTTTATTTGTTCCATTTTTACCCCGCCCATCTAGATTCGGGAATCTACTCTACTAGATGTCTCCGGGATGGATGAGGACCGTTCCTGCCTCTCCTCTGGATGACTTGGCCAAGAAGCAAATATTTGGCCAAGTGCTCAGCACACATGGGGTGAATCTCATGATAGCTGATTGCAGAATTCCTAATTGATGTCTTAAACATCTTCCAGGTGGAAACAAAATTCCTTAAAGGATTAAGAAGTCATGCTTGTATTAAAACAATCTGACAGGTCCAAAAATAGCTAGGGGCAGGGAGAGATTAATTTGGCGCAAAGCGAGGAAGCAGTAGTAAATCCTCCTTACTTTTCACTTCCCTGCTATAGTATTTCCTACTCATGAGCTACTTCCTCTCCTCTCCCCTACATGTACTTCCAGATCCATATCTAACAACCACTGCTTTTTTTGCAACCCCACCAGCATCCTGAATATCAGGAAAAATTTCCCAACTGTTAGAACCAATGAGGTGGCGAGCGCTCCAACGCCGAAAGCATTCAAGAAAAACTTCCCAACTGTTAGAGTAGTACAACAGCGGAACCAATGAGGTGGCGAGCGCTCCAACACCGAAAGCATTCAAGAGAAAATTGGACATCCCTCTGCCAGATCTGCTTTGACTTGGACTCCTGTCTTGATGGCCTTAGAGGCCCCTTCCAACTCCATGATTCTGCGATTCTATGATCATCTCGGACCCCATGGTTCCTTAAAATGAAGGTAGAGAGTGCACAGGTCTGGTTGAACTGCAACGCTCACCCATCCCCGACCATGACAGCCGATGGAGATGGGAGATGGATTCCAAGAACGGATGGAGGGGGACGATTTCCCCATCTTTTGACCTAAAACAAGAGCGGAAAACCTCTTTGGGGATAGATTCAGTTGCTGCTTCATTGGCCAAAGACCGCACACCATCCATTTCTTCCAGCACCAAAGGGCAACAAATTCCTGCAACCCTTCCCAAAAACTATGCTTGTCTCTGGTATGCACAGCCATAAACTGGAGCCCCTGCAGCCATTCCTGAGCTAGACAGACGAAGGGCCTGAGATTGTATCAGCCAGCAGCCCCTCACCCCATGACCCATACACAACCTCCCTTGAGGGTAGAGAAGAGGGCATCTCCTCTTATGCAGAGCTCTCTAGTGCATGATTCTTAGTATCTTTTTCGTGTCTCAGAGAGCCACTCCCTGCTCATAGCCAAAGCACTAGATATACTACCTTGGCTGAGCATGTTGGCAAATGTAAAGGGGAAAAGGAGTGGGTGAAAGGCTGGTGGGGGGGAGTAAAGGATATCTCAGTGGTTTCGGTCTTTGGCGAAGGAGTGGGTGAAAGGCTGGTGGGGGGGAATAAAGCATATCTCAGTGGTTTCGGTGTCTGGCTGCAGAACCAGAGGTTGGGAGTTTGATTCCCCACTTGACAGGGACTACATTCGAAGATCCGTCGGGTCCCTTCCACCTCTCGGTTCTAAGGCTATTATTATAAAAGGCAAAATATTGTGGAACTTTTAAAGACCAAGAGAGCGAAATAAATGTATTCGTCTTTAAAGTGCTATGATTCTTTGCCTCCCCACCCTCTTTTCCGCCCCTTAATTTTGCCAACTTCCTATCAATGCCAACGGTACTGATTCAGACGGATCCGTGGATGACACAGGGTTGCTCATAGTCAGGTTTCAAAGTTGGTTGTCTTGCGTTTCTGGTTGAAGTGCTAATTGCCCATGGGTGAATCAGTCCAAAACGAAAATGCTGTGTCATTGCCAGCACATCAAAAGGCTCCTTTGGGGTTCTCCTGGGATCCCCCCAGCCAGCAGTTCCCAATGTGAGAACTTGGGTTAAAAAAATATGAACATTTCTAAACAATGTTGGAGATAAAAAGCTATCTGCTGGTGACTATCTCAGGAGGAGATGTAGGACTTCTCTCAAACTCTCGGTTCACGGGTCAACAGCTCCTAAATCTGTCATGCAGGACAAGACAGCGAGCAATAGAGAAACCACAATATTTGCAAACATGAACAAATGCCACTTTTGGCAGCAAAACTTTATCAAAGTAGGATCACATATGAGCGTGTATTTCTCTGTGTATGTGTCTAAGGGGGGGATAAGGAAAGGAATGAATTTTGCTACTGACTGAATA